AAAATCTCCATGGGCATTGAAATAGTTGGGAAAAATAGCTTCATAATTGTTGATATCATTTTCCATTTAAATGCTAGTATTAAGAAAGGATATATTGTCAAAGTCCTTACTTCATGTGAAGTCAATTTTAGTATAGAACCACTTTGCCTTATAATGATTCTCATGACTGTTTGAAGCTTAAATTATGCAAATTAGTTGAAATATAGTATTGTCCCCATGTAATATTCGTTTCATTATTGATGTGATTTCTCAATATAAGCTCTTTCTTAAATTATTTCAAAGTTATGAGTTAAAGTCTATTATTTTCTTTAACCCCCCCCCCCCCCGAGCCCTCAAAATTATTAAGGTAGGGTGTAAGATTCTTTTCACACTCATTATATAAAATAACCTCTTTATATTTTGCATATCTGTTGTAAATTTTTTCTCGAAGTTATAACTTCATAAGAAGTCAATTAAAGTAAATGCCATATTTTATCACTTCGTCATTTAACGGTTTTTATTACTTTATAAGGGTTAATTATGCAAATTAGCTTATTTGCATATCAAAAAATATTTTTTCTGAATTACTGATGATATAACATAAATATTGGTGAAAAATTAAGTTTGTACCTCATATACTTCCAAAGTTATGAATTAAAGTCCATTTTCATTTTGACCCCCCCCCCCCCCTCAAATATCTTGTTAGGGGGAGAATTTTTTTCACAGTCGTTATGTAAGATACACTTTTAATATTTTGCACATCTGTTATACATATATAAATGCAACTATATGAATTATTTCATAAGTTATAACTTCATGAGAGGTCGATTAAAATAAATGTCGTATTTTATCGTTTTGTCATTTAACGGTTTTTATGACTGTATAAGGGTTAAATTATGCAAATTAGCTTATTTGCATATCAAAAATGTTTTTTCTTAGTTACTGATGTTATTACATAAATTCTGGTGAACAAATAGGTTTATACCTCATATACTTCCAAAGTTATAAATTAAAGTCCATTTTCAGTTGACCCCTCTGAAATATCTGGGTAGGGGGAGAAATTTTTTCACAATCTATATATAAGATGCACCTTTAATATTTTTCACATCTATTATACATATAAAGATGCATTTTTAGGAATTATTTCATCAGTTATAACTTCATATGAAGGTAATTACAGTAAATGTCGTATATTATCATTTTGTCATTTAATAGTTTTTATGGCGGTTTAAGGGTTAAATTATGCAAATTAGCTTATTTTTGTTCAAAATATTTTTTTCTCCGTTACTGATATTATTTTGTAAATTTTGGTGAAAAAATTAAGTTTGTATCTTATATACTTCCAAAGTTATGAATTAAAGTTTATTTTCTTTTGACCCCCTCCCTTCAATTTTAGGGTAAGGGGAGAAATATTTTTCACAGTCGTTATGAAGATACACTTTTAATATTTTGCACATCTAATACACATATATAGATGCATTTTTAGGAATTATTTCATAAGTTATAACTTCATATGAAGGCAATTACAATAAAAGTTGTTTATTATCATTCCGTTATTTAATAGTTTTTATGGCGGTTTAAGGGTTAAATTATGCAAATTAGCTTATTTTCGTTTGATATATTTTTTTCTGCATTACTGATGTTATTCTATAAATTATGGTGAAAAAATGAAGTTTGTATCTCATTTACTTCCAAAGTTATGAATTAAAGTTTATTTTCTTCTGACCCCCCTGAAATTATAGGGTGGGGGGTATAAAGATGAGGATATCTTATTTTCGCAAGCCTCAAACTCTAGATATCACCCCACATCATAAAATAAATATATTTTCCAACAAGAAAATGAAAAAATCTCGCGTAATACTCTCCAATATTCAAAAACAAAAATATTCAGGCTGGGTCCCTAAGTAATTATAAACGCATCTCAATCCCTGTTTAATAGTAGTGAAAACTAGGTTCAAATACCATTCAAAACACCATTGGGAGTGTCAGCTTTCAGAAGCACAACTCCAAAAGTATTTTTGGTGAGTGCAAAATTACATATTAACCCTTTCATTCCTAAGGTGTCATTTATTAATTTCATGACATCAATTTCAAAATGAAGAATATCCTTTAGGCCAGAAAAGATTATTTCTAGGTTTACAATAACCAATTCAGTGTCAAATTATACTTTTGAGAATATTTAAGGGTTTGAAAACAGATAGGCTGAATAGTGGTCATTAAGTGACGTGCAGTGACTGCATTATGCCTCAAAATGCGTAAACATTTCTAAAATCACTTGCCATACTGCACATGGACCTTTAATTTCATGTTTTTGCAGCTGTATATTTTGGTAATAATTCAAGATCAAATAAGTAAAAGAAATAGCGACTTGGGCAAGGCCAAGGCATTCGGAAACCATACGTTTTCACATAAGCCACCCCCTTTCCCCATACATAGGCTTTAGTTGAAAACCCATGCCTCATATAAACTAAGGAGGGGAGCAAAGTAACATATTTGATCATAGAAAGCGACACAAATATATCATTTGTGCAATAAAAGTATGTTTTGTATGAGAAATCAACAAAAAATATATTATGTAAAAAGATAAATTAGCATTCTTTTTCTTGAATTCATTGAACAACAGGGGACCAGCTCATCAGAGAACGACGCGAAGCTAACGCCTATCATACCAGTTGAATATCTCTCCATCATAATACCCTATATCCCATTTGGGGTCTACACAGAATCAACTGATAAACCAACAGCATAATACCCTAAACCGGCCATTTGTTTCTTAACCCAATATAAACACCACAACCTGATCGGACACAGCCCACAACTCGACATATATAACCTATTACAACCAAACACAACCTAGATCACCAATCATGCAACAGTACAATAGAACATAACCCAGTATCAAAATACACAGAACGCAACAGAGCATAACCCAGCACCAAAGCCAGCATAGCGCAACCTGACTTACAACCACCAAAACACAACCAACTGTCAGATTAACACAATATGTCACAACCCAATAATAAGACAACAAAGACAAACGCAACCAATTGTGCACAATCCAACACTAAACAATAAAAACACAATCAGGCACAACCAATACAACACAACTGAACTAACAACCATGAAACCACATCGAACTGTGAAATTATCACCACACAATCTGGCACAACCCAATGGTAAACCAACAAAAGCAAACACAGCCCATTGTTCAAGTAACACAACACAATTTTTCAAAACCCAAAACAAAACAATCAAAACAAAATCAGGCACAGGCAAAAAACACATTAAAATTGTAATACCGAGATACACAACTAACTTAACTCAATTGGAGACAAGACCAATCACACAACACAATCAGACACAACAAGATACCGACTAGCCACAACCAGCTAGCCAACCAACATAACATATTCACAAGAGAAAACAACCCATTATAAGATTAATATAACACAAAGGGACACAACCCGATACTACATCACCAGACTAACAACCATCAAAAGAGAACCGAGTCTCAAACGTACACAACACAATTCGGCAAAACCTATACCTACTTGACACTAACCCACCATTACACAACCAGGCTTAACCAAATACTCAATCGATTTACTCAACCGCCATCAAAACACAATCAGACACAACCAATAAACCACAACGAAACGTTGATACCGATTTACTCAACTAAGTAATTCCAACTGGAGACAATCGCACAAAACAATCGGGGACAATCCGATATCTACTGAATATGTACTTGAATTACACCCCCCCCCCCCCCTTCCCTATCATCACAAGGCTGCTAATGAAGAACACATCATGGACCACTACCCAAGAGTTAGGAACATCTGGGGCCCCTACCGTGACTCATATGTAAGAGAGAAGATCCGTTAAAGGATCTGGATGTCAGGCCTGTCTTTACAAAATGAAAATAGGATCAAAGAAATATACTCTACCTGTTACATAATCATACTGAACACTTTTCTGGAGTTTTAAGCCAAAAAGCTCCCTTTGCCACAAGCTGGAAACGGGCAAGAGTGATGCGGGGCGCCATCTTTAGACCCAATATCACATTCATTGTCGAGGTCAGGACCAAGCTACTGTACTCAAACTAAGCCCAAGACCCTGCTCTTTTTGAATTCGGAGCGTGAGTTAAGGCACAAAATATATATTCAAGTGGCCTAGCTGCTAACCATTGGTTTGATGTCCCTGAAAAATTACTACGATATTACTATTCACCCCAGAAACGATAGACCTTACATCTGCCTATTAGCAAATGTGACTAAAGCTTTATTCGTAAAAATTGCAGGCCCCTCGCTTATAATCAAATTTATCGGCAGATAAGGCTATAACTTCATCAAAATTAGCACGATACACACGATAACATATGTGGGTTACTAAAATTATACATTTAGGGAAATTTTTATCAAGATATGAAGGACAAAATAGATACGGAGACAACTACGCACAGAAAGTGTTAGTTTACGTACTTTCGGTATTGCTGTTGGTATCACAAACGTATTGAGTACACTTTTACTCCATCGATGCGTTACGGATTTTGATACGGGTAGCTAAAACGTTGTGCGAAACATGTACACTGTAATTATTGCAATACCATTCCATACAGTGTAAAATGAATTGAACATACCATTTGAAAAACTCGATTTATTCCAAACAATAAACAAATTCATCACCAAATTTTAGTCAAATTATACACAGCACACTGTGCTTGTTCATATAGTGATATCTTTAGACTAAAAACAATATAATCGAAGGGTAAAATCGGATAAGTAAATGACCAACGTACAAAAGCCTCATTTTTCGTGTTTTCCGTATCATTTCACGTATAAATTGAACTGACTACGCATAAATCTGGTAAATACGTTACGGATACGGATCCGTGGAGCTAAAAAACGTTTTGCGAAACCTCTCTATTGTCGGACCGAACCGTTTCGGTAACCAGCGTAATCGAGTGGATCACCAGTGTGGAAAGAACGGTTGAGAACTAGTTTGGTGTTATAGGGGGTACATGTATGTGTTTATTGGTTGAGAATTATCATATTCTGAAGTTTCATACATGTTTGGTCATATTTATACCTAGACAGTTTAAATGTATGTAAAACCGTTGACGTATGAATCCATAGAGTTCATAATCATCCATTAGCAATTCTCTCATTATGTCCTTAGTTCCATTCCTGGGACTAGATTTTAAAGTTCCAACATTCCTGTGTTTTGATTTCAAAGTTTCGTACGCCTCGGAGAGTTCATCAGTAAAACTCGGCAAAATTGTTTCCATCGCCTTGACGGTTTCTTCAAAGTGTTCAGTGATTCCTATGAAAGTATAATATCTTTCAATGTTGGTTTTGGCCCTTTTAACGGACACCAACGAAGAATTTATATACTGCCCAGAAAACCATTCCGGGTACATCGAGATAATGTAGCCCGCTTTACAACCTTCGTATGGTCTTGTTTGCAAACATTCAGCCGTTGCCTTAACACTTCTGCCCGTGCAACCCGTTCGATTTATCCATATTTGGAGGCAATCGTCGAGACTTTGCTTCATTTCGTCTCGTGTAAAATTATAAGGATTCCTTATGAAAGAGTCTGCACGTTGACGGTTGAAGTAAAACCTGGAGACCCATCTTTCCACAGGATCTCTTACTATATCTATGTACAACGGCTGCTTTAAACCAAGCTCAGTAAAATCCAGAAAAGATATATGTCCCATGTAAATGTACGGTCTTCGGGGTAGTATTTCAGTTCTTACATATTCCTTTTTACTTTCAACGCTTTGCAGTTCATCAGGTCCAGGAGGATAGTCCACCTTTTTCATTGTGTATTTTTTTGACTTAGAAGTATAACGAACGCTTTCGGAGATTTCGTAAAATGTTGTACTTCCACATTTAGGCATTTTACTATAAATTATAAGAGTTTCATCCCGGTTTTCTTGTTGGTAACCGATCAAATTCATTGACGAACCATTGCAGCGAGGAACAATCATTTTGTTCGCAACATCATTTTGAAGTGGCTCGATCACTTTTAAAATTCCGCTCCTCCAAAATGTACATATATAAAGCGGTATTGAGATCGCTGGTATTACTATGTAGTATATTAAACTTTTATTAAAAATATCCATTTTCATGTGTGATTATTGATTCGCAAAAGAACGTAAATTAGAACCACTGAACATCCTATCGTTTAATTTGCACAACTGGTCGGAAGGATCGGTCGGAACACACCCATCATATGCAAACAGAGCCTGTGAGAAAAATTGGGTGCGTCATGAATGAGCGAATGGGGTGGATTTAACGGTCATTTTTAATTTAAATTTGCGATATATCTGAAACGAAGCCATTTTGGGTCTGCGAATATATTCATATGTGTGAAGTTGACACCTAATATCAATAAAATTGTGAAACATGGAAAATAGTGATGTAATTGATTCTGTAGCGACGCAGTATGCATTAAACCTTTTTGGCTCAAACATGAACATGACCGTATTTGCTAGTCTGTATAAAAGTTTGATGAAGTGTATCTAAAATTCATTATATCCCGATCTGTGAAAAACATTTGTCGGGGTCGGGACTAAAAATCAGATCTTTATAATCGCTCTCATTACTTCGTAATATATTAAACTTGTATCAAAAAGGTGCATTTTCAACTAGATTGATTATGTTAAACAACAACTTACATGTTGTAGTATTGTTTACAAACTACCGTTATTATGAACTAGATATAAATATAGGCGAGGCGGGTCTTGTCATTTATGGCTTAAACTATATGTCTCTCTTGTGAAAAATTAGCCCTGGGTACATTTGTCAATGACAGTTTTTACTTTATGAGTGTGAGTGTGACATGCGCGATTTTAAAACACGAATGAAAAAACGAAATGCATGATTTTAAAACACGAATGAAAAAACGAAATGCATGATTCTAAAACACGAATAAAAAAAACGAAATGCATGATTTTAAAACACGAATGAAAAAACGAAATGCATGATTCTAAAACACGAATGAAAAAACGAAATGCATGATTTTAAAACACGAATGAAAAAACGTGATAAGTAAGGAATGATTAAGTACGGTTAATACTGCAGTTTTAACAAATAAAAGTGAGAGGAATTTTCTTGGTGATTCTGGCTTCTCACGGACTATTATTATAGTAATTCATTCGCGCGCCGCTTTTCTTTAACATAAGGATGTGACACACGTTTGTGCGAAAAGGTCGCGAAGATTCTGCCTACTTCTCGTTAAATTATAGCCAGAAAGAAAATCATACCAAAAACGGACCCATTTTCGTAGGCTAACTGGCTTGTCAGTTATCCCGTGCAGTAAAGGAAAATATATAAAACTGAACATCGTTTCTGCTATTGACTTCTTTTCTGGAGTTATAACACTTCTTTAACTGTCTTGTACATGTACATGTACATACAGACACAATATTATGTGCTCCTGATGTAAGGCCCCTATCTGCACTATAATGCTTATTATGTCAAAGCTGTCTGAGCGGCCATTTTAAATGAAGTATTTGCATAGCCATCTTGATTCACAAGGTTTCTTCTTGTGTTATAACACCTCGGAAGTCGAAGATGATACATTAGCCATTGTCCCGAATCCCAGATACCATACTATTAAGGTTTGAGCACATGGTTTTACAGCTTTAGTGGTAATACGATCTCAACAAACTCAAATGCTTCTTTAGTGTGGCCTTTATGCTTATGAATGTTTGAAGTGAGATGTATATAACATCCGAAGCATTATTCATATATTAACCTTTTGACTGACTCAAATCAGAGCTTATTTCAGTTTTGTCAGTATTTTTAGTATCTTCCTATCAAAATATACAATATGATATGTATGTTTAGTTTGGGTTAACAAATGGGCCATTACTTAGTATATTCATGGGCTAGTTGAAAGCCAATGGTATATTTTAAAACTTAATTTAAAAAAATTCTTTGAATCGGATTAAAAGATTCATGAGTTTTGGGATAACCCTCCTATATTTGATAAAACTCAAAATGAGAGCCATTTCAGTAAAAAATTCCTTGACAAATAAATTTGTCATTCAGATTCTCAAAGCGATTGAATTTTTACATAAATTCCATATAATTCTGCGTATTCGAGACTCTTCAATTTAACCTTGTGATTTTTTCTATCAGTTGTTAAGTCCACATGGGCACTTAAATCATGTAGACGAGGTCGAGTTGTTCAAAGGATTATTTTAAAAACTATTCATCAATTTCAATAACAAATCGAATGTGAATTATTTATTTATACGAATGTCTTTGTATGTAATTACATTAATTCCACCCTCATGTCAGATGATATCGTGATAGTCCACTGGCGTAATTACTAACTTTCCTGTTGAAGACAAAGGTCTATGATTACCGACTCGGTAAGGTAAGAGAGGAAATAGTCCAGGATTCATAGATGGACCCTCCAGAGGTTAATTTTATATGAAAATGGGCTCATCTTTGAATTCTGGGATATTCCCCCTCTTCAGTAAGGTAAAGATCAAGGACCTATCTTAAGATCTACCGGATGCAGAGACCAACAACCCTGGGTTATTGAAATGTACTCTTCATCGAGTTCAACGACATGTTCGTATGGTATTATGTAATGTTAGAAACTTAAAAGGTAATACTTTTCGGGATACTTGCACTGGCGGATCCAGAAGTAGCAAGGGGACGGGGCAAATTTGAAATTAGAAACTATCCGCGAAAAAAGTGTTGGGCCCCTAAATCCAAAACTGCCCTCTCCCTGGATCCTCCAGTGAGTTGTTCATCCGAAAATGAGCAAAATTGTTAAAACTACTAGATTTTTAAAGTTTGACCCATCCTTCGTCCAATAAGAGTTGATTATCTCGTAGAATGGAAAATGAATGGCAGAATTCGGGTCTAAACACTATCGTTTACCCTTTTTAATCGCGTGATTTTTATGCTAGATGTGCCTTGGGTACTTATTTATCTCACTATATAGTCTTGCTTCAAGACCCCGGATTCCCCATTCTACATAAATAACAGACTGTTGTGAAGTAGATAAGGGAAAGGGGTCCAGGGTCTTGAAGCAAGACTAGTATAATATCCCCGATGCATCATGAAAAAGCAAGGGCTTATATTAGTTCCTTTCTATAAGAAACGCATTCCTAGATTGCATTGAAAAACAGAAAGATCTAATGACTATCAGAAAGAATGGATAAAATGCCATTGTGTAGCTATTGTTCAGGTCGTTGAGAATATCAAAAATGTATTATCACATGAGCTTCTCAGAGGGTCATACAATACTGCTAGTCGATAAGTCTCAGGGTACAGCCCAAAATATCAATTCCCTCAATTCTCAATTTCCTCTATTCAGTAATTTTGTTGAAAATTATTATTAGGTCACCTGAGATCAAACCACGCATAGTGACATTTTCCCTAATGTAATAACTAATACTCTCATCAAATCCACTCTTTGATCATAGATCATCACGTTACATCTGCGTAATGCCTGAGGTATACTGTTAAACTTATGATTAAGCTCAGTCAGATGAAGCGTAATCTAGAATAAATACCTATCTAGCTAATAATTCAACCACCCAACTCGAACCGATGACATTCACCCTTGAAAAAATGGTCATGGAGTGAACGCCAATTCAGCATTTTTTCTCTCAAAAATTTGACTGAATTGCTCAATTTCTCATTATTTCAGTAAAATTTAGTGTTGACTTTAATTCTTTCATTTTTTAAGTTTCAAAACGTGAATCCCCGTGAGGATTTTCTGCGGGTAATGTAGTCTTATAATGATTTGCTTCTTATTTCTCCATGGTTGATATCCTGCTATTTTAAAATTAACCTTTGCATTTCTGCACACAGCAATTAATAACAAGGTATTAACAATTATTCAGTTATTTGAAATTGGAAGAATGTGTTACGGATGCCGAATACCGAACACCGTCCACAAAAGAAGTTGGAAGCTTAATATGTCACTACTACTGATACACCGTATGTACAGTGATCGCTTATTATTACAAGTGCGTGAGTAATGACTCGACAAGATCCGCAAAATCCATATATATTGTAACGGTTATTTTTGAATGATTTATTTGTGTTTATATTACAGAATACTGGAGAATACTGGTGATTCAATTAGGTTTTGTAGGTACCAAAACACCCATGTGCTTTGAAAAGTATATATCAGTTTGACCATTTTTCGTTTTTTTGCGGATCACGCACTTGTATAATAACAGGCGATCGCTGTACATACAGTGTGATATGACATAATAAAATTTCATTGAACTAATGTTTTACAAGACAAGACTACTAACAAATATAATTTTACAGATAGTATGATTTACTCATCATAAAATGGTCTTGAAAGTTTTGCTTTTACAATGTACCTTGAAAAATTGTTATTTTATGATATCATTTCACTTTCTAGTTTCTATCATTCTATATTTTCCTATATTTATAGTTTTTTTTTCTTTTTCAGATGGGAAGTCTACGGCGACAAAATATGGATGTAAATACATAGAAACCTCTGCAGCCTTGAACCATCATATTGACACCCTTCTCGTTGGAATTCTAATACAAATCAAGCGTCACATAAAATCAAACACCGTGAACTCTTTGGACAATAAGAAAGCGGAGTCAACATGTTATTTCCAGCATCGGCGTTATAGCCGAGCGTTACGGGCATTTTTAAGCATGGTCACAAAAAGCTCAATTTTTACCTCACGTTCTTGTGATAATTTATTGGAAATATCTTGAAATGGTGAAATGAATTTGTATACAAAGTTAAAATAAATAGCACTGAGTTATGAGACTTCAGCCTTGTTATGTATTCAGTTATTCTGAATCCCAATTAACAAGTTGCACCTGCGATGATTTTCATACAAATAAAAAACATAAATTGGAGATAATGATCAAGGTTTTTCTCAAAATGAGGCATACAAATTGTTCACACTGACCTTACTTAGAAAAAATTGTCGGTAAAATGATTTTTGAGCAACCAGAGTATATAATATTAAAATATCCAATTTATTTCAATCTGAGTTAGTATTTTCGTTTGGTTCATGGAAAAGTGAAGAGAAAATGAGAAATATTAGAGGAAATATCTGGAATATTCGAGGCAATATGAGAATAACTGATCATAAAACCATGCCAATTGAAATTTGAGTAATATGTTAGATATAGTATGTTTTAAACCAAGTCTGGATAATGGATTCAATTAAATCAGGAAAATAGAAGAAAATTCCAGACATTTTATAAAAATATAATTTTTTGAGAAAATATAAGGAATTTGGGATAAAATCATGAAAATGAAATTGCAGGGAAATATTGGAATATAAACAGTGTCAAGTTTGACATTTAATAACAGCCTTCCCACAAAAAAAACAGATATGGTGTTCATGCCTTTTCTAGCATTTTTCTCTCTAAAATTTGAATAAACTGCTTGATTTTCTTGCATTTCTATACAATTTAGAGTACTAACTACACAACTGTTTACTTTATTCCTTGCCGATTTCACTACTTTCCTCTCTAATTTCCATTCCAAAACATGACCATATTGTCATTTTTCTCATCGGTATTGAATATTTCATAACTTTCATTAATCTCAATCATCCAAATATTATTACGAATTAATCTTCATAGAGTTATTTATTGCTGTAATTTATCAAACCATTAACCTGTATTGCTTCAATAGAGTGAAGTACCGATCTATAAAATATAATTATGGTCATGATTTGAAACGCAAAATAGAGTGCAAAAGAGGAAAATTAGCAAATAATAAAGTATGCGGGCACGTAATCAACACTCTCAATTGTATAGAAATGCATGAAAATCAGGCAGTTCATTCAAATTTTAGAGAAAATTAGTGAAAAAAGAAAAAGCAGACGACAATTTTGGGTTTAGCACAAGGTTTCATTAAACTCAATTGTAGGTATCAATATCAATCTTATATAACAGAATTTCCATAAGAAAGTAATAGCTTCAATTTGAAGCATACTTTCATCCTAGAAGTAGGGAACATCCATCTACAAGTAACCATAGTAACTTCCTTTTATATCGGCATTAATGTATTGAGTGGGAGTTTGAGTTTGAAACCAGAGTAATCTGTTAAACTTCCAACATCATAGAAAATACAATCAGATCTATGATAATCATTAATCTTATATTACAACTCCTATTTCAAGTCCCATTTATGATTTTATTTTTACAGTTCATAATCAATATATAGTGTCCAATATGAACGCATATACCATAATCAATAATCAACACCATAATCAATAATCAATAACATAATCAATAACATAATCAATAATCAATAACATAATCAATAACAATAATAACATTCACAAATACAGGTTTTACTGTACATTTCCCTCATTGCAATATCATAATTAATTGTATCTAAGATTTTCTTAATTTTTGCAGTTTTTTCATTTTTACATATTATACAATTTAATTCCACAGATTTATATTTCATTTTATGATGTTATTCATCAATTTTTTATCCATGGAGATTTAATTTGTAATTATTTTGATAAATTACGATACTTTTGTACCGCACTATATTCAATTTAATTTGGTGTGACAAAATCTAACACACATCAATTTTACAATAGATCATGGGCTTCAACAAAATTAGATCACATTCAATAATTTCTCAGTTTACATAGAAACACAGTACATAAAATTTATTTACATAGCTCTGTTTTACAGTAGTACTAAAATAAGGCAACTGAGCGACCACCCACATTTTCAATTACTCTCGCACTAGAAATGATGGTTGTGTAAATGTTAAACACATTCTAAAGTGCCCCTTTGTTCATAACTATTTGCAGCATTTCTCTTTAACTTTTGTTTGAAGTGTCTGATTTTCTTGCATTTCTGTACAATTAAGAGTATTCTCTCCATGCCTATTTTCTTTATTTGTTGCTGATTTTCTGCTTTTTCACTAAATTTTGCATTTTAAATATAATCACCGTGGTATTATATGTAACATTTACATCTACATCCAACGTTAATTTGAATTCCAACACCCTGTTGCAGAATTGTTAGATTATTATTAATAACAATACCTCAAATGTCAAGTGAGGACATACAGGCTGTCCCAAAAATGAGAACACCTATAAAATATGCCATATACAGATATAGTCCACAATATTTTATATACAATTTACATACCAAATAATATTTTTTGGTATATGGTAAACATACATAAATGGCATACTAGAGTATAGTAGTTATTCTATTCAAAATTCAGGAGAAGTACTTTTAGAGTGGAAACTGTAGAAAAGACATATAGCAAGTGATTTTAAATGTTTCATTAAAATATTGGTTGAATGAAATAGCCTTAACATTGACATAATGTGCAGATCTTGACCTGAAAATGGACATTTTGTATAAATGCCACTCCGACCTATTTTCAGAAATACACTAATAAATTAGAAAATTAAGATAAGCAGTAAATATTTCTTAAGAGTTAAGGCCTTCTATTTAGTCCAGTCCCAATCATTAAAAAATGAATATCATCACTGACTGATGTTCAGGTTTGAAATCAGGTGAAAAAATTATTCATTTATCTAATGTCTAATCATTGGCTCTCAAATTGTTCATGGGGCTGAACGCTACAAAATGTGGGTTACCCTGTATAGGTGTGTTATCATCATAATATGCACATATTCATCCCTTCTGATATAATAATACTGCATAACATATAACATAAACTTAATAAGTATTTTCTTAACATTGTCATATATGGTCATTCAATTCAAGTCATGGAATTACATGCTGACGACCACATCAGGATTTAATTTCCATTAAGGCCTAAAGTGCATGTTTTTGTATTATAATACAGATGTTAATGGGGTATGTTGTTATTGGGAATACACTTGTAAAAGTGTCATCCATTCATACACATTTTCCATTAGCAGGAATAATCTGTTCAGCTGTTTTGTAATGCAGCATCAAATAAACATTTTCGGTATTGATACTATATATGCTCAAAAAACGTCTTTCACAAAATTCTCAAAAAATCTCTTAAAAAATATTTTGTTTCCACAAATGGATAAAACGATTAGAATTAAACAAAGAATAATAAATATACGAGTATAGCAGCGCTATGAATCCAAAAGAGAAAATAAATATTAATTTCATCATAAAATGGATAAATTTTTAAATAAATTCCTAACTCAAAGTTTTGAGTATAAATAGTTTTACTTGCAATCTGCATTATTGTTCTGATAAATAGTGTCAAGTCAATAAGATGAGGTAAAATATTTTGAAGCAAAATATTTGTATTATGCATGTTTTCTCGTTACTCGTCGGGATCGTATGCAAGGTTAGGTCCCAACCAGCGCTCAATGTCCTTTACATCCTGGTTCTTTCGCCCAGCGTAATCGTAGATCTGAAAAAATTACATATGAGAAAAAACAGAGTCAAAGATGGTATCTTTTAAACTAGAATTCCGAATATAAACCACTATACAGATATAGAGTGGATTACTTAAAATTTTATAGAAATGGCAGAAAATAAGGCAGTTCATTCAAAATTCAGAGAAATCCATTTCTCACATGTTCTAAATCACAATATTGTGAATACAAACAAAACTGTAACAATCTGTCACAGATCTAATACATATATTGGCCACTAATGACAAACACTAAAACTGAAAGCTGGTCACTAAAAATAGTGGTTATAACAATATGATTGATACCATTAATAATAGTATGGAATGAAAATATCAATACCTGATCTTTCCCACACTTGCCGACTGCGAAGTATGTTGAATTGGGGTTAGCAAAGTAAAGGCCCGACACACTGGCTGCCGGGTCCATAGCAAGAGATTCAGTAAGTTTGATCCCGACAGCATCCGCATCAAGTAACTGCCACATGGTTTGCTTTTCTGTGTGATCCGGTTGGCTTGGATACCCAGGAGCGGGGCGGATGCCCTGGTATTTTATCTTATGCAATTCTTGGGCATTTAAATGTTCATCTTTGCAGTAGCTCCAGATATGTTTCCTCACCTCTTCATGCAGCTGTTCAGCAAATGCCTACAATGGAACAACAGTTGATTTATGACATCAGAACAGATTATTTATGACATCACAATAATATAATATTTTATACCATGGTAAGGGTAATAACAGGTATATAACAGCAAGTGATTAATCACATATTTTGGACAGGGATGATATCAGTATGAGGGGATAGGATATCAGTGATGATATCGATATCATCCCGAGTATATTCAAACATTTTACATTTTTTCAAAAAAATAACATATTTGTGATCAGGTCTGATATCGGGTCTGATATTGGGCTTGATATCTACATCATCCCACTAATTCTGATATCATTCCTAGGTATAAATTCCTGGGGAAATCCATTCATTGTTGTGTATCGTACTCTCAGAGGGAAACGAACAGCGAAAGACTCACAAAGTGGCTTCCAGTGTTTTATGTCATAGTCATCATTTTTATGTTTTAACAGTTATATACATGAAATACATATGTTACTATTTCTAAAAATAATTTATGACACTCGGTAACTGCGTTTCTTTGGCAAATATTCAAATCATTCTTGTAATATTCCCCATATTGAATCTCTCCAGGTTAATAAATATTTTATATCATATATCATATTAGAAAGGTATATCATGCAGTATCTTAATAGTGCAACATTGTAGGATACTGAAACAAATATTATTGATGGACTCTGGTATTAATAACATTTTTTTCAAGAATATCAAATCTTGAAAAATTATAACCAAACAGTATCAGAAGTAATCAATTCTATGAACTAAGTGTGTTATGGACTGCTTAAATAGGGAATTAACTCATAATCCTTATTAAGCAAGCAATGTTTCAAGCTTCGATATTATTTTCAGAGTGTTTGTGTCAATGCAGATTATTGTGATCTTTTTAAGATGATTTTTAAGAGTTTGGGGTAATTTAGATTCAGATATATATGGTGTATTTTTAAATGTTAATGTTGCTTCACATTAGCCAAGGCCCTAGCCATTTTTTTGTTAATTGAATTTATAAAAACCTGACTCTTACTCTGATATTAAATAAACCCAAGATTTTTCAAATTACTTGTACCGGTTATAATTTTTTTGACAGTGATTTCTTTTCTAAAATGTTAAAACTTGAAAAATTCCTCATATTAGTTATTAGTTATTTTTATTGTATTAGCCAATAAATAAGATCATTTCCATTTCTCGAAGCTTCAATAATTACACTGAACACAAATTTATGTTTAAGTCTATTGATCGTGCAACTTAGATGACCTGCATTTTGAAAAATTGAGGTTTATTTAAGGTCATATAAGATGGAAATGGCCCTTTAACAGAACAACTGAAACTTGAACAATATATATATATATATATTTTTTTTACAATTGACCTACCAATCTATTCCTTACAATCTCAAATACAATACCTCCCAAAAGATTCACGATATGTTATAAATTGGTTTTTTTAATTATAATTAATGATTTTATTTCACTTGTTGAAAACAATATAAACAATTACATATAAATATATATTACAAATAAAAATATATTATATACTGTACAATATACATGAAGTATGAGAAGCGTATGAGACACAAGGACACAGCACTAATTCACTGGTCAATGACTGGAAAAACAAACCTAAAAGTATCAAATGAACTCACCTCTGCAAGTCTATCTGCTAATGCTTTCACCATTATAATATTGTAATCATCAAGCTGCTCTTCAAACCTAGATTAATAAAAACATATGTATCAAAGCTTGTATTTCAACTAATATGGGGTAGGGTCAAATTTCAGTCAAAAAGAACCAATTTTCTTTTGAAAAGGACATTAAACAATTAAAGATCATAAGAAGTGGTGGGTCAAATTTCTTTTTACCCAGAATTTATTTTTCTTTTGAGGGAAAACTGAAAAGTCCAGTGGGTCTGACATTTTGTTCACTTTATTTTGCATGGATATGAAGCATGGCTATTTTATGCTTAACATTTTACAAAATAATTATGTTACTATATGCTATTAGGACTAGGATAATACTTTTTTAGAAACATGATGTCAGATTTGTGTTCTGATAATCAAATACTGGTAATTAAATATTTACATGAAACTGAGAATGATCAGTCTGATTTTTTGTTGTTTTCTTGTTTTGTTGTTTAAAATAATGTTTAAAATTACATTGATTCTTTTTAAGTAATAAAACCTGTAACGTGGAATAAGTCCTCTGAAAATGGAACACCTCTAAATATGTAACTCCTCAAAATATGGAAAATCTTCCAAGAACATGTAGAACACTTTTTTAGGTACCAAATGCGTTACACCTACACAGGTACTTACTTTTTACACATATCATTAACCCCAAAGCCAGCACTAACTGCAAACATTCCAATGTAGTCAGTCATTCCTGTATCTTTTGGTGCAATGAAGTCAGATAAACAGGTGTAGGGGTCATCACAACTGGAGTCCTTCTCAGCCTGAAATTCAGTTCAACAAAGTCAACAAATGGGTTAACATGATTGATGGGGGAAAATTGCTGAATGACATTCTACATGTTTTTTTAGAAATAATATCAATTGATGAAAATTGATGAGGGGTTTCATTTGAATAATGGACAAAAATGACACCTGGACTTGGAACTCATATTTTTGATTACATCCTTTATCTCGAATAATGGACAAAAAATGAACCCCGGACTTGGTACTCATATTTTTGATTACATTATACACTATGAATATCCATTACATTTAAGGGTCATATTTCTTTCTGAAAATACACTTGTGGAGTCCTGACACCCCTCTATTGGCTGTAATTGAACTAACCTGCTGTCTGAGACCATAAAGTGTATGTGAATGTTGCCCTGTCTCATCATAAACATAGATATCATCTTCTACGCTGTTAGCCTTGTAGAAGCCTACCACCCCTCTAGCCTGGAGGAGTCCATTGTCTATGATGCTCTGAAGCATGGCCTGGGCATCTGCCATCACCTTTTTCGCTTCTTCACCTTGTTAAATAATAAAAATGCAAATTCAAATTTAAATTTCTGCATTAATTGATATCATAAAACAATCACTTCAATACCAATGTACAAAATGTTTTTCAGAATTTTGGTGAAAAATTTGTGTTAGTAAGTAGAATAATTCGAATTCTGAAAAGGATTAGTAAAAAATCATGATAATTTATGATTGTGATATGACATACCAAGGTAAACCTCGTATATATATACATGTTTTCACTTACCAACATTTGCATCATTGAATATTTTAGGATAGCCTCGATTTGGATATTTCCCACGTAATTGCCATACATCAAAGAAAGGCTTCCAGTCAATATACGGTACAAGGTCCTTGAGGTCATATGTGTCAAATCTGCGAACTCCAAGGAATGTAGGGCGCACTGGAAAATTGGGGAATCAAAATTTCCTAACTTATGTAATATCTATAAACACATTCAATGCCAAACATTGCAAATTCCATTACATACAATAAAACCTGAAAAGATTACAATAGAATGTCATCAATTCCATTTTATCTATATTATAAATATTTTTATTTTGAAAACATGATAATTGGATAAAATATTTTTGATACCATTTTTGAAAAAGTCAAGATTCAAAGCTAACCTGGTTTATAAGAAGTCCAGTCTATTTCCAGCATTTTGTCACGTGCCTGTTTCAGAGAGAGGAATTTGCGATCTTTCAGAGAATCGTAATGCTCTTCACGTATATAATCATATTCCTCTGCTACATCTTCAATGAACTCCTCACGCAGGTTGTCATCCTTCAGGGAGGAACACTGTAATGTATCCCATAATGCACTTGTATAAGCAGACGGATAATTGTACATTATAAAAGAAATCATACACATGGCATCAACATAAAAACATTTCAAAATATTAACCATAGGCGCCAAAACCTGAGACCTATTACAATCTAAGAGGTAAAGTAATCTACCACTACAGTTTTGGAAGTAAAATAATCTAAAACTACAGTGCTAGTCAAGCACCCTTACACTAAAATTTTAGAAGTAAAGCACCCACACTACAATTTTAGAAGTAAATCACCCTAACACTACAATTTTAGAAGTAAAGGAACCTACCACAACCACACTTTTAGATGCATCCAGGACATGAACTGTTGGAATAGAGTATTTTGGAGCAATCTTAACTGCTGTGTGTTGTCTGCAATTAAACGGTAGAATTTTAATTGAAAGTACCTAATTTGGACTTCTCAGTTCTGATTGGTCCAAGTTTTGAAGTTATAACAATTTTCTACAGATTTAACGATACAATTATAAACCTTTTTATATGACTATATCATATAGACCAATATATTTGAGTTATGCATATAACATTGACTTTTTTAAAACCCCCAAAAATTTCCTCAACATGACCCATGTGGCAAGTTCAAACAACAAACTTACTTTGATGTAGTGGCGCCACCTATCAATAATGGTGTTTTCATGCCTATACGTTCCATTTCCTTGGCAACGTAGATCATCTCATCTAAAGATGGCGTAATCAGTCCTGATAAGCCAATGAAATCTGAAAATGAGGTGATTAAATATACATAGGGTATCACTCAATGAACAATGAGGTGCCAGATATAGGTTTTATCCTTTAGGAGAAATGGACACCTCATTTGGTATGAAATTGGCTTTGTTACATTAATTTCAGATTTATGGAATATAATTATATCCATTAAAATATCTCATCAATGTGTGGTGTTTTAGATAATAGATACATAGATGGTGTCAAATCAGAAAGGGGTGGGCTGAAGAGGTTACTACGCCCCATACTCATCTATTTGTTGTCCCTTTAAGTCTCTAATCTTCGTTGCCCCTTTTAGTATTTACATGTATGTCTATTGTCTACGTACCTGCATCTTCTTGTATTGCAGTCTCTAGAATCCTATCACATGGAGTCATTACTCCTAAGTCTATGACTTTGTAGTTGTTACAGCCTAGCACAACCCCCACTATGTTCTTGCCTATATCATGGACATCTCCTTTCACTGTAGCAAGTACAATAGTACCATTGTACTGCCTTCCCTATGTAATATAAGAAACAGTTAGAATGTGTTCTATGACTTTATAGTTGTTACAGCCTAGCACAACTCCCACTATGTTCTTGCCTATATCATGAACATCCCCTTTCACTGTAGCAAGTACAATAGTACCATTGTACTGCCTTCCCTATGTTATATAAGAAACAATTAGAATGTGTTCTATGACTTTGTAGCTATTACAGCCTAGCACAACTCCCACTATGTTCTTGCCTATATCATGAACATCCCCTTTCACTGTAGCAAGTACAATAGTACCATTGTACTGCCTTCCCTATGTTATATAAGAAACAATTAGAATGTGTTCTATGACTTTGTAGCTATTACAGCCTAGCACAACCCCCACTATGTTCTTGCCTATATCATGGACATCTCCTTTCACTGTAGCAAGTACAATAGTACCATTGTACTGCCTTCCCTAGATAACATATTATAGGAGATTGAGAGATCATGATTTAACTATCTTTTAGTTGCCGATGATCTATGACCAAGAAATGCAATGAAATACTATGGTCAATGTGTGATGATTGTTACTGTAATTCTTCTTAATTTGGCGGCCGTTTTAATTTGGCAGTCCCGCCAAATTGTTTAAGTCTGCCAAATAAAGTAGCCGCCAAATTCAATATTACATATTTCAATTGTTAATTTGTATAGCATATACATTTCAATATTGCAGTCCGCCAAATTGTGTAGTCGCCAAATGTTCAAAACAGCAAATCCGCCAAAATAAGTAGCACGGAATTAAGTAAGAGTTCAGTGAATTTCATCATTGCGAATTATAACACCAGTACTTCTTTAACATTCGGTTTTTTCATTGAAAAAACACATTCCACTTTATTTCAAAATAAAATACCATCAAATGCAGTATTTTCAAAATCTCACCCGATTCTCAGTAACACCACTGGCCTTCATCGCCTCTTCCTTTTCTTTTTCCATAAAAGGTATCAAATGGCCGACAGCTTTTTTCATGACACGAGCGGACTTTATGACTTGTGGTAAGAACATCTTTCCAGCTCCAAACAGATCCCCAACTACACTCATTCCCTGATAAGAAAATTATATTTATCTTATAATGTCCTGCAATATGTTCGAAATGCAGGCCATTATAATACAAAATATGCTTCATCTGTAATTAATTTTGACGGCGAAGGGTGTATATGACTAAATTGACAAAATTACAGACTTATTCAATTGGTGAATCTTATTGCATTTTCTTGTTGCTCTAGAAGTTTTAAATTCAACAGTTCCCAGGACTGTAGCCAGCTTTTGCCACTAGGGGTTCACTTTTTAAAATATTCCAAGGGGTTCACATTTGACAACTTTTGCCGAAAATCACTTGAAAAGGTGCTCCGAATTGTGAAAAAAAAATGCATGACATAAAAAGAGTTCTTGGCCAGGGGGGGTGTCACTCAGATCCCCCGAACATCCCCCCCCCAATTGTTAGCTACAAGCCTGGCTCCTCTTCAGGATACTTACATCCATCAAAGGTCCTTCAATGACATTGAGAGGTCTAGGATACTTTGAACTGTCTTGTCTTGCTTCTTCAGTATCCTCTATAATGAACTTGTCTATACCCTAAAAATACATGAACATGAAACTACCATTAAAATTAAATTGACTAGACGCTATGCCAGCAGAAATATTTCCATGATTAAACGTTCAAAGTTTATTGAATTGATGCCACATTTGAAAGCAACATTAATAATTACAATTGGTTCTAGAAATTGTTGATCAACTTGAAAAAAATTTCTTTTGAAAATATAAAAACTTGGGTGACTGCTTGGTTGATTGACTGCTTTAAAAGTGGTGTCTACATGTATATCATGTATTTTGAACTCTAGTATCATCGTGGTAAGCCACACCTTCTCCATCTCTATCCTTCTGGATAGCATCTGCGATGCAACAGAACAGATGCTATGAGTATCAGAATGCTCTAGTATAGTAATACACTTATCACCAAAAACATGACAAAATGCTTAAGCAATGATTGCAATTACAAAGGATTTGAATTTGATGTAATATTTCACCAGGCACATTGTAATACCTTGACGAGGGAGTGCTTCAACCTCTCTTGAACATTCATCTGTCTCCATTCATCCACAGCAGCCTCTTTCCCAGTTTCCTTTCCAAGACTCTGAAATTCACATGAGCAGACTTTTAATTGCATAAAAAGTTATTCTTAGAAGGAATTATCACCCTGAAGAAATGGGTAAATTGAGCAGACTTTTAATTGCATAAATAGTTATTCTTAGAGGAAATTATCACCCTGTTCATTTTTAACTTACATAACATGTTTTGTCTTTTCTGATATAAAAAAAATTAAAAAATTCTATTATCAGTTCGGCTCATAAGTTTGACAAGAAAAGAAATCAGAGACGCATATTCTTGAAGATGGGCTAACATACCTGTGCATAGGCCAACATTTTCTCAGTGCCATCTATATCTCTGTTCCAGAGAAGATTCTCACAAAGTTCCAGAAGTTTCTTATCTATATCTTCATATATAGGGAGACAGCCAGCATTCACTATCCCCATGTCCATACCAGCCTGGAACACAATGTGCAGTACACGTATATCCATTACAAACAACAAGTTATGTATTTACAAAATTCCATAGTCATTGAAAACCCTGGCCCTTAAGTGCTTCTGACATGGCTACCAATTTTAAAACAATCAAAATTAAGGTAAATTAATGAGCTTTATTGATAACCATTGAAAAATATTCAAAATAAATAGATTAAAAGATATTTTCTTAATACTGTGGGATAGAAACTTCTTATAGTGAAGAATTAAGAATTCCTAAAGTCATTTGTTCTCTTACTATGTCTTCATTGCATCCATGGTTTCAACAAATTTTGATTGAGAATTCTTAAGTTTAAGACATTTCTTGCTATTTGAGGCCTTACCTTGATGGCATGATAGAGAAAGACACTGTGCATAGCTTCTCTAATGCGTTCCATTCCACGGAAAGAAAATGATAAATTTGACACTCCTCCACTGATTCGACACCCTGGTAATGTCTCCTGGAAAATTTTTTTTTATTAATTCATTACTTACTTTATTTATATTTAAGTAAACATCCCAAAAAAATATATTACATCTTAAATAGCTGCTGGGCTATGTATATTTTCCTGTGAAACCAGATATTAGCGTAAATGATGTAATCTTACTTGTAAATAGAAAATAAATGCCTTTAGATGAGATAGCAACCAAATCTTTGAATAAAATGTGAAAAGAAAATTTATAATTTTGAGTGTTTTATCAATTCAGCAATTCTACCTAAGTAATATAAAGCTATTGTAATATGATACTAATAAATATAAATTAGTAGTTTTTTTCGGTACACTAATGTAATATGTACCTTAATTGTTCTTGTCGCCTCAATAAAGTCGATACCATATGTGTCATGCTCAGCCATCCCTGTTGCTATGGTGAGGATATTTGGGTCAAATATGATGTCATTGGGGTTGAACCCAACCTTATCCACGAGGATTCTGTAGGAACGAGTGCAGATTTCTATCTTCCTAGCAGCATCAGCAGCCTAAAGTACATGTTAATCATACCTTATGTATATTTCATATAGGGCTTTAAGTATTTGGTTTAACAATGTTCGCAATGTTGGAGAAAAAAAAGATCAAATAAATATTCAAACTCATTATATGTTATAATCTCTCCCTCAGAAGATTGAGACAAATTTTGAAAAAAAACACATAAAGCCCATATTCAAGGTTTAATTTTTTTTCATCTACCACTTTTCTAAAATTTGGACCCTCAACAAGATAATAAATAAACATAAAAGTATCTTTCAATGGCCTAATTTTTTCAACCCTGAATTTTCTTTGATCTTAATGTACTTCCAGTTGTAAATGAGTTTTCAACTAACCTGTCCTTGCTCATCAAATGCCATTACGACCACTGCAGCTCCATAGCGTTTCACAGTGCGAGCCTTCTTAATGAAATCCTCTTCGCCCTCCTTAAGGCTTATACTGTTCACAACACATTTACCCTGGGCACATTTCAGTCCTGCTTCGACCACTGCGAAGTTGGAGGAGTCAATACAAAGGGGAACCTAAAAGATAAGTATAAGTATATTTGATTATAACAGTCCCCTCTACAGCAAAATGTACTTAATGTTACATAGTGTGTCATATCCCATTTTAAAGACAATTTAATTCTGGAGTTACTTGAGAAATTTCAGCTCCGTATGATATAATTTTACAGATTTACAGCTGCTTATAAGTAGTTGGTATGGCCACCACTTGCCGCTCGAAAAGCAGCTAATCTGGGTGGATATGACTTCAGTGAGTATACAAAGGAAGGTTCAGCATTGCGTAATCCTTAAGCACTTTCCTCATATTCTTCAGAAATACATCGTTAATACATCTTTTTTCAAGAGGCCCCCTCTCCATCAATTCCCCTACCCTGTCTTTCACAATTGAACCTATATGTTCAGCGTAGATGAGATCTGGGCTATTTCCTACATATTAATAATTTCCAAGATTTGACCTTAAACCAGTAATAAAGTAGCAAACAAAGTACTGAAGTAGCAAACTTCAAAACAATATAGCTTTTTTAATTTAAAGTTTTATGAAATGAAATTTGACGAGTAACTCCAGAATTAAATTATCTTTCAAATGAGATATGACATGCCATGTAACATTTAGGAGTTTTTGCTGTAGAGGGGAGTGCCGTTGTTTTTTGACACCCTGTATATCAATTATTTTCTGATACTGTAAATTCATTACGAAATATAAAAAGTTGTTTACATAAAAATAGTGCCTCAAAATTTACCAAAATCCTTCATAATTTTTTCGCTGTCATTTTCCACATTCTCCATAATACAGACCTTGATACACTGTATAATATAAATGAGGTCAGCTCATTTCCTCCATTCAAAGGGTCACATGACGAGAACTAAACAATCACATTACAGATTTCAATCACACATGGAGAAATACCTTGCCTATTGGTTACTTACTTTAGATATATCTGGCTCTGAAGAAATCAGATTACAGAACTTTGACATGGCAGCTTTTCCATCCAACATTCCTTCGTCCATATTTATATCCAAGATCTGGGCCCCATTCTCAACTTGCATCTTGGCGATAGTTAGCGCCTCCTAGTGAGTAAAAACAAAAGTGTGGTAAAGGATTGAATCTAACATGTGAATAAATAAGGGTTATGTACTGGGAGGTTTTGGATATGGGGTTTATCCAGAGGGAGATATGCATATCTACCTGAGGGACCGTAGGGACCGAAGGTAGATGTGCATATCTCACGAGGGATGAACCCCATATCCAAACCGACCGTACATAACTGCTTTATCCTATACCAAGTAGAGTTTTCAGAGATGTATGGCCATTTCAATAGTACAAGGTGTAAAAATAAACAAATCATTCATATGCAAAGTCATTTTATTGCATTTCCACTACTTACCGGAAGCGGGAAGATATGCACCGAAGCAGGAAGATATGCACCGAAGCGGGAGATATGGCGGGAGATATGGAGGTTCTGGATATGGAAACCTCAAAATCAGGATACGGGATATATCTTACCAACTTATCTCCCTAAAACTCTACTTGGCATAGGATAAAACAGAATATCCTTGATTTTAGAAAGGGATATCACTTTTTATGCAAGAGATGGGTGACACCAATGAGTGAATGAACTCATAGATCCAAAATATCCTAGGGTATGATATTTATCCAATGCTAGCTGTTTACTTTACACATTCTAAACCAGCATATGCATGCACTTTCAACCATACGTTTATGACTGCTGTCATAATTGTAAATAATAAGGCCACCAAAGTATTATAATCAATTTGATATGATGTAATAATGTATATAAATGACTGGAACTAATAGAAACAGTATTCAAGGATGGTAAAATATCTAGATGGAGCCTGGTGAAACTGTACACTTTCTTTGATACTGCATTTTCTGTATATTCTTTGGCTCATTTAATAACTAATCCTATATTTTTCAAAATCAAATAAATAAATAATTCTTACCTCATAATCATTATTTTTGATCAATTTACAAAACTTTCTTGATCCTGCTACATTACACCTCTCCCCGATGTTAACAAAGTTTGTATGTCGCCCAATTCTGCTTGGCTCAAGCCCTGGAGAAAAACATTACATTAAAATATCAATTACACTTTAAATTCAAATGAGCCACACTTCCATGGTAGCTTTCGATTTTGTTCTAAAAAAACAAACTTATCATGTAAACAGATTTTTGTCATTTAGCATTTTAACAAAAAATAAATTTATGCAAAACATTTTGAATTTAAAAAATTGGTATAGAGAGCCTTAATGTACCTGATATAAGTGTACAAATAAAATATCTGAAAATATGTCTACAAATGAATCAATTAGATACCTGAGAGTTGTAAATAGTCTTTGTAAAGTCCAGTAGGTGGCACTCTAGGCTTGAATGGCTTGACGGCCTCAGCGATGGCTTGTATATGTTCTGGAGTGGTTCCGCAACATCCTCCGACAATGTTCAATAGACCATCTTTGGCAAATGTCTGGAAAGAAAGAAATTATGTTGAATTTTTTTTAATGGAAAGTGGAATTATACATAGTATGCCCTAAATAAAAATTGTAATATATACAGTAAAACCTTTACATCTGTAAACCTCTCTAATCTGAACACCCCTCAATGTCAACACTTTTTTCTGTCCCCATTTTTTAAACTGCCAGAATTTTCAATGTTAAAAAAACTAGAAATGTGAGCACCTCCAGATCCAAACACTTTTGACCAGTCCCAGTGGCATTAAGATTAAAAAGGTTTTATTGTACAATTAGCCTAAGATGCTACAATTGTTAGGCACTTCATTATTAGATGGCAATTCTACAAAGACTCCTGAAATGTGAGTTCAAAATCCTACAATATTGTCACTAATACAATTTGAAAGATTTGTTTTGCATATTTCAAGACATTTCTTCTTGCCAATTTAGTGAAAGGAAAAAAATATGTCCAAATGATGGTGTCAATGATCTGATAACACTAAAACATGAATCAGTGAGTGATCTCCCAAGCATTAAAGCAAGCGGGAGCAGCACCCACCTGAGATTTTGAAAATAGGCATGCACCCAGCTGAAAATCCATTTGCAACCACTTAAAAATGAGAAAAAATCACGAAAATGGGCATATTTTGACCAATTTTGGTCTAAATTGTGAAATTGAGAATTTTGCAACCACCTGAGAAAAAATCCTGGGGAGATCCCTGTGAAGTAATAAAATCTATTTCTAAAAACCCCAAACGTTAGAGATCATTGGCATACCTTAAGCTGTAGAGCCATATCAGCAGGAGATTCATCGTAATCTCCAAATGTGTTTGGTAGACCAGCGTTAGGGTAACATATAACAAATGCCTCAGTGTTCTTGCCAATAGTTTCAATAAATGGCCGCATTTCCTTTGCACCAAGAGCACAGTTCAGCCCCAAACTGGAATATAATTTGTTAGTGCTCAATCTTCACATGGCATTAATCATTCAGTAATAATTTAAAACATCTTGCATACCATGAATAAAATTTTACTAGATTTTGTCCCACTTTCTTATCAAAATGGTCAACAAAATATTTAGAGATCACTTGATATTCTAAGTTTCAAAACAATTATCACAATTTCACAATATTTTTTGCTTATCATCATTAAAAAATTGGATACATTTCCCTTCTGGGTTATAATTCAAGAAGTCATCTAAGTATATAATAAGGACTTTAAAAAATATTTCAACTGGTCTAATCAAGGAAGGGTTCAACATAAAGTTAGTAATTTTATTTAACAACTCAATATTTTCAGTTTTAATGGATAAAAAAAACTAAACAACCGATGCCTATCGAATTCATTCCAGGTGATTGTGTTAAAATGAAAGATAAATTCTCATATTTATTTTGAATCGAAGGGGACATTGTTTGACAGAAAGCAGTTAGCACTTACCACATTGGGTTAGCATGGGAGACACTGATCACAAAGGCTTCACCAGTCTGTCCTGATAGGGTACGTCCACTTTTGTCAACTATGGTGCCTGATACAAACACGGGCACAGGAGCATATTGTTGTTCGAAGAGCAGTTGGATTGCATACAAAGCAGCCTACAACAATAACAAATATAATGTTTATGTAATGCTTAGTCGGTTTGGTTCGAGCGATATGCAAGTTTTACATTTTCCCTAAACAATTCAATTCGCAAATTTGCAACAGGTATACCTTCCTTCTAAACAACACAATTCATTAGTTGACATTGGAATCATTCTGTGGCTTTAGAGATATTTTACCTCAGGCAAACTGGACCCTAAGTATTATGGGCCTGTCTTTGGAGAGAGTATGGTAGATAAAATGACCTTACAAACCTTAGAATTGGCAGTATCAAATATTGTTTCTACAAGGAGAACATCACTGCCCCCATCTAACAAAGCACGAGCCTGTTCAGTATAGGCATCAACTAGTTCATCAAATGCTGAAATAAAAAAATCACATCTGCAATATCCAATGCATTATGGGTAAGATGATCATGACACCTATAAAATATGTCAGAAAAATGCTAATACAACTAATTAACAATTAGTTCAGAAATTAAATGAATAAGATAGGAAAAATGAGATTATTTCACAACATCCTGATGGTTTTTCAATGTTCAATCTTTAAAATCTATTTTCAACGAATTTTCTGAGTATACTTACTGACATTTCTGAAATCTGGTTTTTCTACCGAGGGAGATATAGAAAGGGTTCTATTGGTTGGTCCCATTGCTCCCGCCACGTAGCGGCGCACACCTGAAATACAAGAGTCACTCAGTGAAATTCAGTAAAACCTGTATTATACAAACACCTTTCTAATCTGAACACCTATCAATATGAACACTTAACGTCGTCCAAATTGTTTGATCTCCCATACTCATTATGAAACCTTAAAATGTGAACACCTGCTAATCCAAACACAGGTTTTACTGTATTTAATAAATATAAGGATATAATAGAGTCCCACAACACATAACAAAACATGTCTTGTCTTGCATTAACACTGATGAACAAATGATTTGAAGCTAAAACATTTGAGTATCAAGTAATTCAAAATACATGTACTCTCACCTGTTTGAAGTGTGACATCATCGCAAGCCCGACGTGCTAACTGTGCTGACTCAAAATTAAGTCTGTACACCTACAATCAGAATTGAAATTATAGAAATCAATAATTCAAAAATGAAATACATCTTGTATTTAAATTAAACTATTTTATACAGTGTCACAATTCTTCTGTGACACTCTACTTCCAAAAATTTAATTAGAATATATAACAAAACAAGAAATTAGATAGACATCAAAAAATTTATGATTAACCCTTGTATAACAATGGACAGAAACCTGTAAACATTATTTATCAAATTAAGTTTTAACTACTGATATGTACTGATTTATTGAAATCATTCATAATGTGACATGTACTGATATATTGAAACCATTCATAATGTGACATGTACTTATATTGAAATCATTCATGATGTGACATGTACTGATATATTGAAATCATTCATAATGTGACATGTACTGATATATTGAAATCATTCATAATGTGACATTTACTGATATATTGAAACCATTCATAATGTGACATTACCATATGTTGGAGTGCATAGTCAGCCTGAGCAATACTGGTCCCGCTAAATGTATTGGTTTCTACAAAATCCGCACCAGCAAGCAGATAATCCTGAAAAAAAAGAAGTTAAATTGACCTACAAGTTCATTTCAATCCATAAACTCATTTCAATATAATATGATATCAGATCACTATTTTAAGTCCCATTCACCATTTGGATCCATAAGCTCACAAATAATGGTATAATTTGTGGAAAATTTTCCTCAATCTTAGGAGGAAGTAGACTAAAGGGGATGTTAAACATATTTTAACTTTGAGTGGCCTCATTGATGTAAGTTAATCAATGTAAGCTTGACACAAAAATAGGTTACAAGTTCATGATAACCTCAATTATTTGATTTTAATAGGAGTCTAATCACTAGACATCCTTGGGCATTATCTAGAACTACCCTTTGAATTTGTTTGCACTTAACTTCTAAAAGATAGCTTCGTCTCATCTTCACTCTTTAAGTTTAAGAGAAAACTCTGAACTCGTTGTGCCAATCAGAGCAAGGACGATTTTCTATATATGGGGGGTCATTTCCTCTGACATTATCATTGAATCATTACTGAAATGGGGTTTGAATTGATAAATGGCCCGATGTATGATGACAACAGACATTGAGAGCGGGTCTGTCAATTGTTGAAATGTAAAATTATCTCACCTATTCAGAGGCTAGTTTTTAGAACTAAACTCTGCATTCAGGGTAGGCATTGTCTAGTATAGGATTTTACCTTAATTAATGATAAATGTATCATTTAGAGGACAGACCATGTTAATAGTTCCTTAATAAGGTGCCGTATCAAGTAGATGTTTTTGCACTCACCTGATCGATTTGGTTTATTTTACAGATGGTGAAATCCTGTTTTTCATTAAATTGAGCAAAAACAAATGTTTTGCATGAAGGTATAATAATGTTCATTGCAATTTAAAAATGTCTGAAATGATTCTAAAATCACTATTCTGATATTGCCAATCTTGTGTGTTCCACTTATAGAGATGTTTCAGTTGACAGGTTTTACTTTATTGCCTTATTTCAATCAATTGAGTCCCGATTCCCCCTCCCTCTCAGTCACTGAACCCCCCTCCCATGTCGGATTGATAATTGGGGAGGAACATAATTTGAAATAAACTTTAAACTTACCTTGTGAATTCTATATATAGTCTCAGGCATTGTAATGCTAAGTAGATCATTATTTCCTTTGAGAGATTTTTCATGGTCATGGAATTCTTGACCTCGGAATGCCAGCTCATCTAAACGTTCATTTTGGATCATGGTCCCCATCCCACCATCGAAGATCATGATTCTCTCCTTCATGGTCGCTTTAAGCACCTCCATGACATCTGTAAATCAGTTTATATCAATTATCATTTGAAAATCACATATTTTGAAATTAAAACTTTAAAAATAGAAGTAACCAAAGCAATAATTAAAAGTTATGCAATATTTTCATTGAAGAAGTATCATGGTCGCCATCCTAATCAGGGTTTCATTAGCAGCAGGTAACAGGCAATTTTCACTGGTTGATTTCACAAAATCACCTGGTGTTTTAAGGACTTTTCACCTTTTCGATCAACTTTTCCATGTTTAATTTGCGATTTCCATTAATTTTGCCTGTTGTTTTCATTTATTTAGCCTGTTATGGGAAATTCTGATGAAATCCATGCTCATATATACAATCAACAATCAGGATATTTTCCTTCATTGCCTTAAATATGGGCATTTGATGATAAAAAATCTAAATTTTCAAATACCATTTTCTTTTTCTAAGCACCTATAAAAAAATACATGAAATACTTTAACAATACTTGAAATTAAGCCAAATTATTAAAGTAGCATCAAATTAAGTGTATGTACAGTAATAGGAAGCCATAGTTATACAACAGAGCAATGTTTTAACTGCAACTAATGTTTATCTGTATACTATGGCTTCTCAGCTCTTCTCGTGTCCATTTTGACCTCCTGATAAGATTAGCATAGGGAGGGGGTGATTGTTTATTGAATACATTTGGAATCTGTTAAAACAATATTTTGACAGGAAGGTATGACAAAAAATTGACATTACAAAGTTAAAAACAGTCCCCCCCCCCCCCCCCATTGATATGTGGTATTTATTTGTGTTTCTTTTATCCAGTGGAACATGATTATATCAATGATGTCTATGTATAGATTAGAATGGGGTAATTTTAATATGCCGATCAATATACCTGATCAAGCTATTACAGTACTACCCCCATAAATGTGGGGTTATTTTGAGGTTTTTGATATTTAGGACATTTGTTTCTCTCATTATGATGAAAAATGTAGTCTCCTGCATCAAGCACATATTTTTTACTTTTTCAAAATACTCTTGTCTGATTCTGTGTTCCTTTACAATGCCTGATTGGGTAGTCTTGAAGCGACGAGCGCCATATCAGCTGTCTTGCCTGTTCGAGGCACATCAAGCATAACTTGTCATCCATTCAGGGGTGACGGACAATAATGGCGTAAACATGAAGCCTGAAAGGCCTCAAATTTCAAATCTGATATAGACTAGATCTAATGTGTGGTTCATCTTACTATAACTTGACAAGTCTAATGTATTGTCTACAGTACATGCACAAAATATATTCCACAACAAACAAGCATGGCTAAATTGCTGAATTTCAGAGTAAACAAGTATATAAACAAAACACATATATAGGATTCCCCTTTGGGATATCCCCATGCACCACTTACGTGAACAGGGTTCATAAGGTCAAGGTTTCATAAAAACTAATTTTTTGAACCAGTCAAAAACTTGCAAACTCTATTTTTGTAATTACCTCCACTTCCCTTTGCGATTGTCCCTTCAGAACTTGTAGGAGACATCTTCAGATATTTATAGTCCGTTTATGTACAAAAATCAATACAAAACATGCCAATTTACGGTGATATTCCAATGTCTATCCGGAGTTTGTGAAACCACTGTTCACTCATCAAAAGATTCATCGAATAGGAAGTTGAGTAGGATCTACTCGAAGCGCATGCGCGTGACGTCATTGATTCGTGTCACTTTAAAATAACAAAATCTGTCAAATATTTTCTCTATTTCTTGCTTTATTATCAAGTTTGTGATATTATACGAGGATACATTGTTTTGAACAGCATCCAGAGAACGAGAATCAGAAAAAGGAGTGCGGTGAGTTCAGTAAATCTCGAGATATTGGTTTTCAAAGTCTGGAAATATTTTTTGTTTTTGCCAAAATTTTGTGGAATTTTTGACACAAATCTGAAATTTGGATCCAACCAGCTCGGGCTAACCAGATTCACAGAGTTTGTTGTTGTTTATATTTTCTCATTGAGATTCACCCCATGATCTTACTCATAGCCTCAGTGTATCATTTGAATTTACACAAATCAATGTGTAATAGGAGGTCTATCTGAGTCTAGGGCCTAAGAATCGTGTTGTTCCGACTGGACGCATCGTCAAGCTGAAATATCAATTTGATGCCAAACTGTTGTGAAGTCAGCATTCACACTATAATGAATAACTTATCTTCTATTATCATGCGTTGTGTAATTTCCCATGGTGATTTTATAAATTTGAAGCTCCAATCAGAACAGTTTTTTCCAACTTTGATCATAAAAAATAAGAATATGATTTGTTACTCAACCATGTATCTAGCTACCGGTATTTAGTATGTCAGATTACGCCCTGGGTTACATTGTAAAACTTAGTCAAACAAAACATAGACGATAATAACTTCGCGTTTTAGATTTTGACAGCTCTTTTTTTTTATCTTCTGTCACTCAGTCGAACAAAGTAAAGACAAAGTGTGCAGATATGATAGCTCTTGTTGGCATTTGGTTCAACCATATGTCAGTCATGTGTGTTGCTACTGTGTGATCATGTGATTTATACAGGGTGGGCCAAAAAAACGCTACTTTTTTTTCAAAATGTTATAACTTTTTTAATTTTTGATACAAAATCATAATTCACATACCAAATGAAACTTGAGGTTGTTATCTAGCCATTGATCATGAATTATACACTTTTACTTGAATAAAATATGTCACCAGCGTCTCACTTAAACATGTGGTGTGCCATGAGAAATAAGCATAATTTGCATAACTTTCCTAAACTGATACGCCCTGATGACCGCAAGCTAATAGCCTTTATTCAAACCCAAGTGAGTATAGGGCATGGGGAGGTCTCCAGGAGATGGTATGAAGGCACCCAATCTAAAAAATTGCTTAACTAAAGCTGGCAATTAAGACACATTGAAAAAAATATAGCTAACATTTCATTGATACTGCTATATCAGCAAAGCGACTAAAACTAAAATCTATCATCAAATGGGGTGGCGGACCAATTGAACTCCTCTTTTTAGATCAAATATAATCCCAGTTGAAGGACTCATTACATTATATTATTACTAAGAACCCTTGGCACTATATAACTGCAAAATTTGGGGTATGTAGGTTGGAAAATAAAAAAGTTATAGTGTCTTGAAAAAAAAGTGGCGTTTTTTTTTGGCCCACCCTGTATATGTGAAGTCAATGTGTCCCTCAACCATGTCTTCAATGAAAGTTATAAATTTATTAGAAAATGTATATAGAAGAGGACATGATCCAAAGATGGCTCAGTCAAACATTGTGGAAAGGGTAGATGAAGCTGCACTGGCTATTCAAAATGAACTTTATTCAAGATAACAAGGATACCTATTTATTTAATGATCAACAAAGATCATTTAATATGTTAATTGATTAATTCCAAAGACTTGATGGTCTCCACCTATCCGTTCAGACAACATATCCAAAATCATGTACATGTAGATATATTTGACAAATTTCAAAGTAGATCGGTTCAGCAAGGTCTCATTTTGTGTTCATCTTCATTGCAAAAACAGATACTTACATATGTATAAATTATTTAGTAAGGCTTGATTCTTCCACATTCAAAGTCATGGGAGAATTGGAGAACATATTGTCATTATTGAGATTGAAAACTTACAATTAATGATTATCGAGAAAAAAATGAATACGTTTTTAAAATAGAATTTTAATTTACCATAATTGAACTTTACGTACATTGACAGTCTAGTTTGAAATGTTATTGCTGGTATTACTGTATTGTAGCATCAGGGGTTTCACTAGAATTTCTCACAACAGGCTAAATAAATGAAAACAACAAGCAAAATTAATGGAAATCATGAATTTAACATGGAAAAGTTCCTAAAATCAACAGGCGATTTTGTGAAAACAACCAATGAAATTTGCCTGTTGCCTGCTGGTAATGAAACCCCTGAGCATACATTTCAAACTGACTAAAAAGTTTTGTCATCCCTTGAATTTCTCACAACAGGCTAAATAAATGAAAACAACAGGCAAAATTAATGGAAATCATAAGTTTAATATGGACAAGTTGAAAAGTCCCTAAAAACAACAGGCAATTTTGAGAAAACAACCTATGAAGATCGCCTGTTGCCTGTTGGTAATGAAACCCCTGAGCATACATTTCAATTTATTTAGCACTGACTAAAAAGTTTTGTCATCTCTTGAAAGTAATTTTACTTCTGTTTCAGTCTGTGATATAGGGTTAATGTTACGTGACCTCCCCTTCCGTTTAAATGCAAGCCAGACGAAGACGCACTAACTCAGGATCGGAACAGGAAAACAAAGAGAATTATTTACTGCGAACAAACGGACAAGGTGAGTCATCATTGTGTGTTATTTTGAGAGAATAAATTCTGTACTTATCCTTAATTTGGTGCTACTTATTTTAGCAGATTTGCTGTTTTGTACACGTGGCGACTACTTGATTTGGCACACATGCAATATTGAAATGTATATACCATACAAATTCACGATTGAAATATGAATCATTGAATTTGGTGGCTACTTAGTTTGGCGGACTTCCGCCAAAAAAACGCCAAATTAAAATGTCCAACAAAATAAGTAGAACTACAGTTCTAATTGAATTGCAGTAGCATAGTTCACCCTTGGTATACGCAGCTAACGAAAATTGACCGGTACGGGTCAAAAGCTGGACCGGTACGGGTTAACGGTTTTATTTGAATTTAAAACAGCCATAACTTGCTCAATATTGACTTCCTCGTGTCTAATTTGAAATATATGATGCCTCCGATGCTTTTAAGTACCCCAATTTTTTAGATTTTTAAACGGACCAAAACTCTCTAAATGCGCATTTATGCTCTTTTCTCTCGAGAACGCGTTTGATTTTATAAAAAATGCCAAACTTTGTGACAAAGAATTTCATCCTGCTTGCAGCGAGAAGACGGACCGGTTCTATTGCCCCGAACCAGTCTGTCTTCTCGCTGCAAGCAGGAGGAAATTCTTTGTCACAAAGTTTGGCATTTTTTATAAAATCAAACGCGCGTCATTGAAACTCACAAGATGTAAATAGCATGTCATTTACATCATACCTTGATGGGGAAAAATAGATCTTATATGTTAGAAGTACTAAATAAAAGTTATCGTGAAAATGAGACAGTCGTTCTCGAGAGAAAAGAGCATAAATGCGCATTTAGAGAGTTTTGGTCTGTTTAAAAATCTGTAAAAAATTGGGGTACTTAAAAGCATCGGGAGGCATCATATATTTCAAATTAGACACGAGGAAGTCAATATTGAGCAAGTTATGGCTGTTTTAAATTCAAATAAAACCGTTAACCCGTACCGGTCCAGCAATTGACCCGTACCGGTCAATTTTCGTTAGCTGCGTATACCAAGGGTGTAGTTATAGTAACAATTTTGAAGCTATTCACAATTTTGAAAATTGAAATTGACTTCATCCTTGTTGTGTTTAATGAAAGAAAAAAAATAATTGTTTGAATATTTGTTGCAGGTTATACACAGAAGAGTTTCACTCCACCACCACCAGGAGCGCCACCTATCCAGAGAGATCGGGAGATGAGTGGTAGGGACAGGACCAATGAGTTCCTCTCCGCCTGCAAGTCCATGCAAGGACGCATGGTATGTACAAATTAGATTAAAAACAAATGTAAACATGAATCATTTATGTTACATCTGACCAAATACTTGTAGTGGTGACATGTTGTTATAAGTAAACATTTTTGTTACATTCATTCTAAATTTAGCATCTGCTCTCTCTTGGTCATTGGCATATTAAAAATTGTTATTTAACTGATATTCAAACCATTGAAGAATGATGTACAACGGTTGAAAATTTTAACACTCAAATCACTAATTAGTTATGAAAAAGAGTATTTGCATATATTACAAAATCTAATTTCACATAGAATTGGTGAAAAATGCTAGTGTTTCACATTTTTCAGAATAATTTTTTTGAAAAGTTGAAATAGCAGACCATTTTTACATGAAATGATTGAATATTATCGATATTCATAAAAGAGGTTATACTTGTAGGGCAATGGCATGAATGGAGCGGCTAAAAGTCATAGAGAGCCTCTAAGGCAAAGAAGTCAGTTCACCCAGTTGGCAAAGTAAGTGTATGAATACTAAAATAAATCCACTAAACGCAGCCTTGTGAATTGGGTAAATTCTCAATTCTTGAGATTAGGGACATTAACATGCGAACCGATGCGCTACTTTGAGCATGCTTCCAAAGCTTTCCGAAAGGGTACTTGCACATACAAACACCACCAATGATTTTACTCAATTCCTATTTGCCAGGACAGGCAAGTTGATATCGGGGGTTTTCATTCATATGTGAGGAGGCCTTAAAGCTTGTATTTTTAAAAGATATTTTATCTGGGGGTCATTAATAGACTTCGTTGAGTTTCAGAATTCTGAAATCGATTGTTGTAATAATGGATGTATACAATGATGTCAGAGTGAGGCAACAATGAACTATAAGAATTCCTAACTTAACATTTCTGTTAGTGTATGTTCCTAGAAAAATAGAATTACTTTTCTCTACATTGTGTGAAGAAATAGAAAAATAATGTCAATCCCACCCCTCCCCCAAGTCCACTGCCCTCTCCCCAAATGTACTATTTATTTTATTTTTTTTCATTACTTTTTATTTCAGTATAGAGTTATTACATTAAAATTTGATTTGTTGACAATTATACATGTTTATATGAGTTTTTGAAAAAAGATAAAAAAATTAATTTATTATTTAATTTATTTATTTCTTTACTTGAAAAATACAATGAAAATATAAGAGAAGATTCCTGATTTATTTTCAAGTAAAATTGTCTATTAGGTATTCTAGAATTTTAAAAGCATACTTATTTAAAATCTTTTTATTATTTCAGACGTATAGGCCAAGACATTGCCAAAACATTTGCCAAATTAGAAAAGCTAACATATTGTAAGTAAATAGTAAATACATTACATAGTAAATACACATAGTTTAACACAAATAGCTCATTGGTGAAAATTTAAGTAGCCTTTTCTTCAATATATCAGAATATTTCATCTGCTTATATGTTTTGTGATTTTAGCATGTCTACAAATTTTTCAAGGTTATATTGCTTAAACATGCATATCTGTTTAGGATTTAAATATGACTTTTAAATAGATTTAGAAAATCACAGAGAATTTTTAAAGCATACTGATTCAGTGTTTAAATTTTTTTTATTTCAGTGGCTAAGAAAAAGTCTTTATTTGATGATCGACCAGTGGAAATACAAGAACTGACATATATAATAAAACAGGACATAGGCAGCCTTAATAAACAGATTGCTCAGTTATCTGAGGTATGTTTTTTTAACTCTATTTATCAAACTTTGCTACATTGTCATTCTCGTGTGCTGATGGGCATGTACCATCTGTCTGGACGAGTGTGCTGGCAGGCACTTGAAAAGGAGAAATTGTCAACCAATCATAAATTACGAAAATATTCCAAATACGTGTACATGAACTTGAGACAAAACACTTATACGTGTCACCATACCATATTTCTTACATAACTTCCCAAATTAACGAAATTTAATGAAAATATATGTACTGTAATGAATTAAATGCCGTATGATTGTGATGTATATATGTAGTGTGAAATATTGTAATGAAATATACATATTGTTTAATAAAAGAAACCTTTGTTTTCAGTTTGTCAGGTCTCAGAAGTACAATAGTGGCAAACATGTACAAACTCACTCCAATACAGTTGTCTTCGCTCTGCAGGTACAGTATAAAGGATCTATAGGTTTTTAAAACATTCTGTTTTGAGTAACGTTTAAAAGGTTCATGGATTGAAAAGCACAAAAGGCTACATAATGAAACAGTTTCAGGTTCCTGAACCTACAATCTTGGATAATAAGAAACTTTAAATGTTTGAAAGAAGTTCTAACTGTTGAAAAATCGACAACGTCGCAAAAGATTCTAAAACATCCCTTAACAGTACAAACAATTCATGCACCTAAATCAACAATAAACATTTCATTTATGTGTTTTGCAGTCAAAATTGGCGTCAATGTCCAATGACTTTAAAAGTGTATTAGAACTAAGGACAGAGAATTTAAAACATCAAAAAGCCAGGAGAGATGAGTTTTCAGAGTCATCTAATGCCCCAGTGACAACTATGCCTCCTACTGCTTTACAGGGATACAGTAAGTTGATATCATAGTCACCCAGGGATTTTGTCCCAATTTAATGTGGCCCTTGCAATGAAACATAGACACTTTTTTCTCTAAAAGACAATTGTCCTTATTTGACATGATCCTCGCAGGGATACAGGAGGTACTTTCTGGCTTCCCAGAGATAATTGTCCCCATACATTATTGTCCTATGAGTATATGGACCTGATTCAGTATAAACAGAGACAGTTACTTTTGTTTGATTAAAATTGAGTAATTGAGTAAAATCTGCTGATGTTTTTATGTGACTTCCGCAAGTGATGACGTATTCTAATAAGTCACCAACTTTGGATGGTGTTCAGTTCTCCATTATTGGTATACAGTATTTAACTGTTGGTGTTCAGTAGTGGGCGTCTGTAACAAATGGTAGACATTTTGCATGATAATGCCTTGTTCAAAAATTTTATGTTCTTCTAGAGATAATTGTCTTCATTACTTTGTCCCTCTTGAAAAGTTCACTTATTTATCTGCTTTTTCTCTAGATGGTTCCGTACTGCTACAAGATGAGGCTCAGAGCAAGGGAGAGATCTCCATAGATATGATGGAAAAAGATAAATATCAACAACAGCTACAGCTTATAGAACAACAGGTAATAGAGACATTGATGTTTGAAACGTGTAGATTTGATCTCTAACCAGAATATTTAAACCCGCACCTCTCCCAGAAAGAAATTATTGGTTGGTCCAAGTGATATTTTGAGCATATACAATGATAAACAAATACAAATAGGGCAAATTTTATGTATGAATACTCATGCTAATGTGTCATTATGAGGATTGTTCTTTCAATTGCTTTGATGTTCGCCAACCATCCATTTTTCGAAGATTTCTAAAAGAATATCACCTGTCACTAATCGCCTAATACCTCTGTGGCAATTGGTAAGCCCTCCTTTAAATCCATGTCCAGTAAAACTGTATAAGTTGAACACCCTTCTTTCCATGACAACGTTTTCTACTTTGGTGGTCCACTTACGTGTTATATTTTCAAAGCTTATTCCACTTGTTTCCACAAGTTTTACTATTGATGGATTTAAAGGCTTGACAGCAATATCTATTACAAATCAATATGTGATAATTTTAACTTCTGTTTTCAGGACACATATATCCAAAGTAGAGCAGAGACCATGCAGAACATAGAGTCTACAATAGTAGAACTTGGTAGTATATTCCAACAGTTAGCACACATGGTACATGAACAAGAGGACATGGTTCAGAGGTAAGTCATGGGGATTGGTCCATTTAATAGAAAATGTGAAAATGTGAATTATAAAATGTGGAAATGTGAATGATATTCCCAGTTGTACCTTGTACCAAGTTGGATATCCATTAACATCCAGTTCAAAATTTGTAAATTGCCTTGCACCTACCTGAATATCCATTTGCACCCAGTTGAAAATTGTAAAATAACCATGCGCCTACTTGTATATCCATTTGCACCTTAGAATATTGAAAATTGTCATAATACTCCAGAAATTTAATCTTGAAATTAATACATTTGCACTTCATGTGCCACATTGTCTTATATCAAAAATAAATTGATTGCATACAAATAAGTGATTGGTTAAATTCCAATTTTTTTAGAATATTTTTAGTGATGTCCATATTTCACTTTTTAATAGTATGTATGTCTCCCCCTGCAGCCCAGGTGGCCTCAATTCTACGAGGATATGATCCCGTATAAATCATTCAGAAGTTTAATTTTGGTTGTTATCAACTATTTTGTGATGAAAGATGCCCCTGCTTCAAAAGCTCCCCTGAATGTAACACATTTTACTCTGTAATGATATTGAGAAACATCGAAATCACCCAATGTTGGCATTGTCACTGCAGTATCATTTTCACTTTTCAATCACTATACCTGGTAATTTTACTTGTTTTGACGTAATCAAAGGTCAACTACAACCTTACAAGAAACATTGTAGCAATTTTATTAGGAGGAGTTTATGATTGATTTTTTGAGGGTGATCAGCATTTTCCATAAGCTTCAAAATGATATATGGGAAAGTATGATAAAAAAGTTAAGGGGGGAGAACAGACTTATTTGACACCCTGTACAATCAAAAATGTTCATACTTTGTGTTCCCCAACTTTATGAACATTTAGTTCATCTGCTGTATTTAATACATTTGGCTGTCACATTTTAATGTCACTACCATATTCTTATAGTCTCCAACTTTGTGGACGTTGTCTGGCAGTTCGTGTTCAGCGTTCGATTAACAGTGTTTGGTGGTCAGCATCTGTAACAAATGGCGGGTAGTGACATGTTGCATGTTAATGCCTTGTTTTTAATGACCTGTTTATTTCCAGGATTGATGCCAATGTTGAAGACACGCAAATGAATGTTGAAGCTGCACACGGTGAACTGTTAAAATACTTCCAAAAGGTCACATCAAATAGGTGGCTAATGATTAAAATATTCGGAGTCCTGATTGTATTCTTCATCATATTCGTAGTATTTATGGCATAGTTTTAGTATTATTGGATTACATCAAAATTTTGACTGAGGAGGACTTTGTTTTAGTCTAATGCAGTGTAATATGAGGAATTGGGTAACAAAGAATGCCATTATCTGTGAAGGAGGCTATCTGCATGGAGAATGTCCTGAGCAGTGCTAAGTCAATCAATCTCCAAGCAGTTTCATACAACCTTTCCTTCTTTCTCTCTGCAACATTTGATTCAGTTTTCCCTAAATTCTTATTTTCTTAAATTAAAAGATTTAATCATTCTTTTTGCCCAAATTTTGGTAATGTTTACAAATCATTGTTTCATTGAAACTTTTGCACATTATGAACCAAACATTTCGAATTCCCTGGAAATCATGAGTCTGTAGCAGAAAGGAAAATACACAAAGATTGAAAACCAAAGTTAGTGTAGAGTCTATTTTGCGAGGAATCTTCACCGTCAAAAATTTCACAATTTCAGAGATCTCCTACTCAGGAATATTTGACGCAGGAGTAATTCAATCCCATGATCCTTCAGGAGGCTAAGCCTCAACTGTCACAATCAATCATCAAAACGAAATTTCTTAAAAAAAATTTCAGGAGCAAATATGAACCAGCCATATATATTTTTGAATCAGACACAAAATATTTGATCATTCCAAAAGAGAGTGATTAATGGGGGGTCATATCAAAATATCTGAGTATTTAATAAAAAATTGATATTTTGACCCACCCCTTTGTCAGGTGCAATACTAGTCTGGGGGCTGTTCTTGGTACAATCGTAACTTACGACCGTCGTAACTTACGACCCGTCGTTAGTTTAAATATTTACGACCGAGTTACGACTGGTCGTAAGTTACGACTGTTTCCAAGAACAGTCCCCTGTAACACCAATGAAAGTGTAGAACAGCCTATGCTATCATGCTTTTAAGTGTAAAAAATGTATAGTTATATAGCAAATAGAGTGAAATCAGTAAGGACTACACTATGGGCTTACATATAGCTAGCTATGAGATTTCATGCCTCACTAAAGTCTGACAAATTATGCAAATTATGTCTCATAGAAGTTATATTATCCATTTAAAGTTTCGCCTCTACTTTTTTATGAATTTGCCTCACACCTGGCCAGGCCCATAAGGCTGTATTCGCGAATGCAACTACCATCTACAGGCTGCGGGGTTGATTGCAATGTAATAGCCAACTCATTTAAATATGAATAGTTACTACATGTAGTTTCATGAATGAAATGGTATTTTAATATGGGACATTTAGGTGGTGCAGTTTGCTGTATGTAAATAATGACTTGTCATCTGAATGTAAAATTATTTGGCCGCAGACTTCATCTAATTTGGTCTATCTGAACTCTTCTCTGGTCCTGAGTTAATATCTGTCAATATGAACAATTTTTCTTGGTCCCACTTTTGTGAACTATCATTGAATTGCATATACCAGTGAAACCTGTAAAGTGCAACACCTCTAGAAGTGGAACACCTCTGTTAGTGGAACACTTTTCAGAGTCCCATACCTGAATGTTAAATGAACTTGTATATGTGGAACTCCTCTAGAAGTGGAATACCTCTGTTAGTGGAACACTTAAAGTCCAAAGACCAACTGATTTAATGTTAAATGAACTTCTATACGTGAAACGCCTCCGTAAATGGAACACCACCAAAGGTGTTCCACAGGTTTTATGGTAGAAACCTTGAAGTGTAAACACCTTCTAATCTGAACACTTTATAACAGTCCCAGTGGCATTCAGATAGGCCAAGTTTTACTGTAGTTCAAACATAGCTTTATACAAGACTATCAAACCGATCTGTCAGATTATTTTGATTTTTTCTGTCCTATTTTGATGGACCCCACCCCACACACACAAGTTGAATGTGCTCTGTAGGCATGCAGTATTGCCTTATGAGGACAAGTCAATCTCTTTGTAAATTGTATATAAAAAGTTGCACAATCAAAACTATGTGTATCCCCCACCTGTTGCTATTCTGCACTCCATGTGCAGTCAGACTAGACCTCTGATTCGTGAGGGATGGTGTGCAAATGTTGAAACTTGAGGAAGTTAATTTATGGTTTAACCCTCCCCCGACCCCCAAAACAAAAGTTTTTAAAAATTGTACATTCTTTACTCATGAGATAAACATTTACCCCTACCCCTTATATTTGGACATGATCCGTTAGAATACCCTTGAGTAATCAGAGAATTTATGAAGTATGTCACATATCATGATGTACATTGTACACCCCTAATCTGATCAATGTGGATCCATGCGGAAAAACTGCCCTATTTCCATGTGGATCCACATGTCTAAAATCCATGTGGAACCCTACAGCATGGATTCCATTTGGGTGTCGATTGGCTGTGTTATCAGGAATGCCATGCATTATTGGAGTTTTGTTTAAAATCATACCAGTATATTGTAAAAACATTTTTGGATTTTAAGTGGGCTTTGTAATGGGAAAATGGTGAAAATGCAGTATATTTATACACCCCCTCCAAAAATTAAGTATAAAAGATTTTGCAGCTTAGAGAATGGATGTTGCAATGTTTCTGTATTATTGTGAACATGTAACAACTTTTGCAACAGTTTTATAAAGTTAAGAATGGGTGTATCACATTTTGAAGTAAAACTGAAATCATAACCAATAGGTGGCGTGCATGATTCACAGAAATTGTATTTTTGATAGTCTTGCTCAAAGACTGTATCCACCCCCCCCCCCCTTCCGTCACCTTCACTCTCTTTACCTGGCAATATACAGAGAAGGACAAAGGGGGGGAGTACAGGGTCTTTTAAGCAAGACTATATTTTTGACTTTTGCCACCGAATCGTTTTACTGGATAGGTTATACCTGTATGTGAAAATGACTGCTAAATCTTTGATGTGCGTTGTAAATTGAGATGTGTGAAGTCATGCAGTTTTGAGGCTCTTAAAATGAATAATTTATGTATAAAGATGTTAAATAAGAAAAAATAAAATAAGTTATTTTATTATAATATATGGAGACTTATGTGGAATGGCATTTATGTTGATGAGCCTATGGGCCTAGTTCATTTTTTGGCATTAAGCCTGACTTGCATACTTTAAACAAAAAAAAACAAACAAACAAACAGAATTGTTGATGAATATGAACCCAGAATTTGTGATGCCATTAATTAGTAATAGTATACACCCCCAATTCACACTCTAAAATCACATTGATGTATGGTACATTAAGAGTGGTACCGTACGATACCGTTTTAGTATGGCGCCGTTCACGGTACTGTACAGTACCTTTTTAGAATACGGTACTTGAACCATTACAAATTGCCTGTGTATGCATGCAGTGATGATATTAATATCACCAAAAAAGTGATAACATTGTTATTATCTCCCAACTTTTTGTGGAGGGCGGTTTGGGTCTGTAAATGGCAGGTGGTGACATTTTGCAGGTTAATACCTTGTCCAAGTAACCCTTGTCTTATTCAATAGGGGGTATGATCATTAATAGTGTTTCTAATGATAGAATCTACTAAATCAATTCGTAAAGGGGGCAGGTACTATGCTCACTACTAGATTACACTCCTTGTACTATGATGATTTTGGATTGCTTGTTTCTAGTTGAAATAAGGACTTCAATACTGGATAGAAAAATAGAAACTAATTCAGACTTCAGAAAACAATGGTTGGAATTGTTGTTTGGAATTTGAAAAGATCAGGCCCCGTATTTATGCTCTTTAGGGAATTCCCTAAACAAAGTCCTGTAAGTATCGGGGCTAAATCCATAGACAAAACCAAAAGGAACGTTTATACCCTGAGGCTACTACACTTTATGTAGATGAAGTTCTGAGGCAAAATAATACTTTTGGGAAAGATATGGCATTAACTTACTCTCATCAACGAAGCAAATAAATTACAAAGGACTATAACGCAGATGCGAGTAGTATAGGTAGTTACCAGATTCACAACCAGATGGCTCGTTCGGGTCAGATAGCATAGCAGGTATAGTAGAAAGTTCCCTCTAACTTAAATTACATCTATTTGCGTGGTTCAATTTTCATATAACCCTTATGTATCTAATAGTTATGCAAATTAAAATATGTCCATTAAAAGAAAATGTTATCTGTCCAATACAAGATAAAATAATTCACTTTTTGTGATTTTGTAACATGGGGTCTATGGGGAATCAACCCGAACAAGAAGTCACATTTTCAAAAAAAATTAAATTTTCAAAGTTGATAGACAATTTTCGAAACCATATTTGTATATGTACTTTTACATGCAGATTTCAAATATGACATCACTTTGACTGAAATTTTGAATATTTAATGACGTAAATCAAGATTATTTCTACTCGCATCCAGTCTATTCAACCAAATACTAAGTAGTGCATTTTGGATGCGAAACCATTAGCTCCCCGTTACAATCAATATTTCAAGATTAAAACACAACATGGAATATGGTGATTTCAACAACATTTGTTTATTGGTTACTAGGACAACTGATCGCCAACATACATTCATAACTTCACACATACAATCATGACAGTCATATACACATTATATTCATTTATATTTCATTACAAACAAGTTTATATACATTTTATATGGCAAGATTTCACACAATAGCACCTTCACAGAGGTATTTTCATTATCACAATTGCAATATGTCCCTAACTGATTTTTCCTTTAAAAATCTGAATTTGTGGTCTTTTCTTTGGAAAAAATGCTTGCAAAATTTGAAAATAAAATTTAAATTAAGAGATTGAACTAAATCTAGAGATTCTATATCTATCAGCTAAACATTCATATAGGCCTAACCTACGTTACACTTCCCTTCAAAAGTTTGGCAGGGTTACTAAACTTTTTTTGGGCGGTGTACATCCTACTCTGCAGTAAATTCATATTAACGTTTTTGTCTCTTTCTGGTCATGTTTGATAACTGCTTTGAAAGGGAATTTGGAAAACTATCTCAGACAGACCTATATAGTTATGATGTATTAAAACTCAAGACCAAGTAATGACATCTATAGTAAGCTGCACATTTAAGTACAGCATACCGTACATAATACATTTGTACAATTATTTACAGATTATATGTTTTGTTACATATATAAAAAAAAAATATTTACAATATAATTTACTTCTATTCAATGTAGTTTTTCCAAGTATATACAGGGTACCGAACAAACCGCCAAATAGCACAATGCGCTATAAGGGCTTCTATGATGGTATAGTTTATGGCATGAAAATCATACGTAACGAGCAACAAGCATTACTGAAAATTTTTACTCTAACCTTGGGCTGACTAAGCTAGGATGAAGAAATTCGTCATCCTAAGGCCGACCACAATGAAACTATCTTGCCCGATCTCGCGAGATATAACAAACTGCAATTGGTTGAGTGGCAAGGTTTTCCATTCTTTTATTCTTTGGACAGTGGATCAGCGCATTTTACCGAACTTGCTGCATCTTCATCTGCGTTTGTTAACTTTACATCACCATCTTTCACCGTTTCATTAGCCTAAATATCACATCCCCCTGAGCATTATTTCAAAGAAAGAAGTAGTCTGGATTTTGAAGCCCTGTGATCGGAGGATGAAATATCACGTCATTCCTGATATGAGACACATTGGTGGCATGTCCCAAATTGAGAAGTGTCAGCACTTCGTTCTTCTTTGATCAATTCCAAACCATCTGAGCTCATTGTCATGATAGATCGTTCGAACCATGAAGAACTTCGACGATCGTACGCTCTGGATTCATACAGTCCAGTGAGCCTAGCCTTTCTCTGCGCCTTTTTCCTAACTCTGATGCTGTTGATTAATGATATAATAGTCAGTTTTATCTTTCTGTTGGTTAAAATACTCAACCTTAATGTCAGTGGTTATTTTGAGTGAGCTATCTGCGGGACCTTCTAGAGTCGTCTGCTCCGAAATGGCGCCATCTATAGACTTATCATCCCTGAATGCTGGAATCTTACCGCCCTGAGCATGCTCCTGAACTTTAGCGCTGTGTTCCTGTGCTTTAGCTCTCAGCGTTGCGATACTCTCACTCCTGAATTCTTCTTTGTCCTTTCCAGTGTCATCATTACCACCACTCTCATCCATGTCCATCTTCTCTTTGGCTTCCTGTGACTTTTTGTGCATACCTGGAAAAGAATGATGAATTAACATTCAAGAGAAGACATACATAATCTTTTCATATCCATTTTCGGGGAAGGTTGATTCATACTCATTCGGTCGAAAAAATATTAATAAATGAGACTAATCACAGTTGGGAGAGTGACAATAGAACTTTGGATTAACAATGCACCGCGTCTTATATTTTTTAACATTCATTTTGCCATGTGCTAATGAGAGGAACTCCATTTGGAGGAAGAAGGAGGTTGATATCATTAACATTGCTTGGAATTATAGAGTTAAAATTGCAGTAGTTGACATCGATCGGCGTACCTAACAACCAAGGTGCGTTTGATTCCTCAACGTCCTTAGTACATGCTGCCTCCTTCGTGATCGTCTCCGGTAGAGGGAGGGAGTGTCGCACCATTGCCCCATAGAGACCATATTCCGCCATAATGCTACTCTTACCCCATGTTTTCTCTGTCTTGCGCCATTTAGCCCTGCGGTTTTGAAACCAAACCTGAAGATAGATACAGACAATTGTGAGTCACTGAAAATGTGATATCTTAAATCTTATATTCTAAATCACAATAACTTCACAATAATTAAAAATTGATTCAAAAATAGAAAGTCCTATTTTAGATTCATTTATATTATTTGAAGCTATGTACAACATATATATAGCCTCACAAATATGAATTCATAAGTGACATTTTCGCATCAACAAATATATCAACTATTGCTGGGGTGGTCTGTCAAATATTCTAGGTGGATTAGAAAGGATTAGAGAGGTGTTAGATTCCGGTGTTAGATTAATAAGATAATTGGCATCGACTCATCCTAACTCCCAGTCAACAGTAATTCACAGCAACTTAGACGTTATTAACTCAAGCAATGTTTAAATTAGTAATTCTTTCCAATTCTATCCAATTTGTCCCAATTTCGCGAAGAGTTACGAGATATTTTCCAGCGTTGATGGAAGTAATTGGTAATTTGAGTTGTATTTCTGTCTGAAGGAAACATCATCTATTGATGGGATTCTTCTATAATTGAATAATGGGTAATTGTAAGATTATATTTTGGTTCGAGGCTATTGATATGTCGTCTGCAGGGAGCTTTTGTTTCAAGCGGATTCTGGGTAATTTGATTTGCTTGTTTGCAACTGTAAAAATGTCGATCTCGAATAGCTTTGATTGGACGTGTAATTATTGGGAAGGAAACCAATAAGAGAAATATGATATTCAATAAAATACTTTTGAATGACTGCACTGGTTATAGTTCTAAAATCATCATAAAGATGGCAGGTAGAACCGAATAAATGCAAAGGATGAGGAAAGTAAACTGTGGAACAGTTTTGGTATGGGTTTTATAGATGAGATAATCGGCCTTCTAGATTCTTATCCGAATCGCGGTTTGTGTAAAACTGTATGAAGTACTTGAGGATACTAGAGAAATAAGTGACGATAGCCTACATCTAAACATCTGGCAAACATACTTGGGTGTTCCCACCCCGTGAGAGAGCATAAACGACCTCAGCCATATTTGCTTTACAAAATGCCTCTCTTATTCTCAAAACAAACTTGCGTCCATAGGTGAGCATTTCATAGATAGACAGGAAAACAAACCCGGCGAGGTAAGCGTGCGGATTATGCAATGTCAGATGGAGGATGGATTAACACCAGAACGGGAAGTTGAAATCATTGCAGATGTTGGTCGAAGAGTTTACACTTGTTGTATCCAAACAGAATAAGTTAGGCATTTGAATAAGCAAACATGACCACGGGGGCGCTGTCCATACTGGAGTGGAACCAGAAACCACCAATCGAGACTCCCTTTTCGAACAACCAATCCATTTTTATAATTCAACCTTTTTGAATGAGAAAGGGGATACATAGACAACAATGAAGAGTAATTCGAACTGAGTTACACATATACAGTTCCATGCTACTTTATAAGACTGTAAAAGAAACGATTAAAAAGTCAGGGAAATCAAGATTTATTTAGGGTCTGTTAGCAAGTGAGTCCCGGTGTGCTTATATGTACAAGCCATGTGTCAGCTATGGTGGCAAGTGGCAAACAAACATTTTGGATTCTCCCGGACAGCTCGTCCAAGTGACAGAAATACTTGTACTGAGTATTCATATCCTAACTCCATTAACATTCGCCTACTCTAAAAAATCCCCAAATTGTTTAAATCGATACTAGTATAGTAGATGGGGCAAACCAAATGGAGTTAGAGTCTAGAGACCCATGGTTAGAGACTAAGCAAAAACTCATAGCCTTCCCACGTGAAACGGCGAGAAGGAAGATTAAAAAGAGGTGTAAATCTTTGAAATCAGCTTGGTCACTTGACACTAATATAAGCCTGTTATTCTATCGTGGCATTGGCGAGCGAAAAAAATCCCATAGATCGAAGAAACAAAATTTTGTACTCCCGCACGCCCAATTATCATTCTCCCATGCATCTCGATGCTCGCGCCCCCTTTGTCTGTAACTTCTCAAAGCGGCAGATAAGAGGGGGCCTGGTTAACCAGAATGTCATTCCCACTGTTTTCTGATAGGGGAACTTTTTCTAGCTTCACGTGTACAAGGCTCTGTACCCCCTCTCGTACCATTATCGTCATCACACTGTTTTCCGATAGGGGAAATATGTGACGGCTTCCCTCAAACATCTGTGTTACCGCCTCTTTTTAATCATCCTGACAGTTTGTACGAAATACCCTAGGCTTTCTAACGTCTATGGAGACTTATAGTAGATAAGGGTAGGATACGAGTCTTGGTAGTTTTGTTTTACCTTCTCATCCCTCACTTTTGTCAGTAGATATAGAAACTGTGTATGTATGTGTGTGTGTGTGTTAATCAGGGCGAGGGGGTGTACAACGGCTTGTGCCTTGATATCCAATTGATGTTATTACTAAAACCATGGAAAAGGCTAAAAGACAAGGTAGGAGATATGCCTCCAGAGACGCTATGTTAAGGCCGTTGAAAAAAATCGAGAGATTTGACGACAAAACCATAAGACATATCAAGAAAGCCCTATACGAACCTGAATTCGGTCTTCGGGAAGATTGGTTTTCAAGGATAGGACCTCTCTCTGGTAAACATCTGGGTAGTGTGCCTCTTTGAATGCTTTCTCCAGTTCTTCCATTTGATAATTTGTAAAGATTGTCCTGAAAAATACAAATCAGGAGATTAAAAATGAACATTATAGATGCCTTACATTTTGTACATCATCTGATAGGGTTTGCTATAAACATGCAAATACGCGTGGGATCTTTATTCCTATTGACAAAATTAATTTTGTATATAATGCTTATGCATGGAATTATCGTTATGAGCGTAAAATTACGTACTGTTTAGTATTGTTTATAGGGGTTTGAAATTTAAACCATTTTAAAATTGTACTTAGATGTCAGGTCAGAGTATAAAGCTATTTTTGGTTTTATAGGGCTCGTACTATATTTTCCTTGGCTCAGCCGACAGCTCATAGAATTCAAAAAACAAACACACACGATTTCACAATGGTTTTAAAAATAACCATAAAAGAACAAGTCAAAAGTAATTAACGAGCAACTCAAAACGAGAAGAGCATTCGATAATTTTGCGCATCATTAAAACTGAAAGATATGCCATTGATGTTGGAACGAGACAAGAAATCACGCAAAAGGATCAAGAGGTACGCTCCCTCATTAGCGTGGCTTTTGCCCTATCTCATATCAAACTGGAAAATAGTCACGAAATCATTAATAATTGAGGTGAAAACAGAGCGTTTAGCTCATTCACGAAGCTATATTTAAGACGACTTTGTAATTATACGGAGATAGGAACTGGATTGAGGACTTGATCACGATGTGGAAGAATATTATATTCATATATTGAGTTTCTGTTGTCACTGGTCGGTTTGGGCCTTCGGGAAACATGCGCATTGTTCTTTTACACCGATCTCTTTAAGTTACCAAATGTATGGCTCCAACCAACTCTTAATGCTTCAAAATATCCAGAATGCTTCAAAATATTCCATTTTACATATAGGAATTCTTCAAGTTGTGAGCAAAACAAATTGATTTCTTTTTCTTGTGGACAATTTTATTGCCCTTCATAAGTTCTTCATGTAATTCAAGAGCCGGTCCTTTTTATCTGTACCTTGCTTCAAAATATTCCATGTTACATAGGAATTCTTCAAGGTGTGAGCAAATCAAATATTTTTTCTTGTGGAAATCTTTCATTGCCCTCTTCATGCATTTCACGAGCTGGTCAATTTTATGTGTACGCTGTACCTTGTTCTTTTTGTCCGATGCAAGCGCAAAACGGCGTTGATGCATATTTTGGTTTGAATAGTGGTATTGAAAGATTGATTGAATTGAAAGCATACCACAATAAATTGTTCCAAATTCTTATTGAACATCAAATGATCTTCGCCATTCAGAATAACCGTAAGGTAACCAAACAGCGTTATAGAGAACAAGATGTCAAAACGTTGCAAGTATCATTAGCGACACTTAACCTCTACGGGGCTTTGAAGGGGCTCACCCAGGCGAACTGAGTGAAGCAATTTAGCAATTATCGATGGCTTTTCTTCAGCGTATGTTGCCACTTTCTCTCGGCCCAGCAGGGACGAGTATAATGATGGGCTCAGTGTAGAAACGATCACAAAGCAATTAGTTCCTTCTGGGATCGGTGAGCTAGAAAGGCTTTAGACACCTTTAAACTCCCTCTCCCCCTGGTTATATGTCCAACCCCCTGGCTTAAACCGGTCGACCCCCTGCTTCCTTAACGCATCTGCTCCACGCTTCTTTGCTCAGAATTCTCAGGGACTAATTTGTCAGGTAGCTAATTTTTCAATTTTCTCTGCATCTTACTTTGTGCCTCAAAATATGGCACACTTTCAGATATAAAATAAGAAAGGACTGGAGATTTTGGAACTGTTCGCCTCGGGGGCCAGTCAGAACTTCACAAGACAATATAAGGAGCGCAAAGTCATGAAACAAATAATCCAAAACTGATTCAGATCCTTTTTAGAATATCAAATGCGACAAACGGATACGCGTGTACCTGTACCGGAAATTCCATGAAGTCATAATTTACAGGGAAACAGAATACCTTCTTCCTGGTAAAAATAGACTTGTACCGATCTACCACATTTATTCATTCAATGAATCAAAATGACTTAATATGAGACTATTTATTTTTTCTTAACAATCTCGGTTTTATTTTGTTTCGTTCATTGTTCTTGCGTCCGACGTCGACAATAGACGCACCATGAGCGTTCGGGGAGTCGTTGTAATTAATTACATTAGGCAAAGATTTAAGGAGGTTGTCGTCATTAGTGTGTCGTTAAAAGAGTCAGTAATAAAAGAAGAAAAGGTTAATGAAATATGACAGCCTTAAACTAATTTCCCTGTTATAACATACCGTTAAAGAAGGCAAGAGACATTATGATTGGGATGTTAAATGAGTTGTTAAAGACGAGGAAGTGTCGGTCGCTTGATTGGAGTATAGCGATCATTGTGCGTGCACGAAACGCATGTCAATAAGAATCGATGAGAACCATCGTTAAAATAATTCAGCACCCTAGCCTTTTTAAAATACAATTGTTATGCCATTTTCCACGGGAATGAAAAAAAATACTGAATTATTCAAAAATTAGTATTTTGATTTAATGAATTTATTTTGTCATTTCTTGTTCTCGCAAAATCAAATTCCAAGGGATAGTAACCATGGCAATGTTACAATATTTTAGAGGGCAACTAACGTGTCTTTAAACCAAAACATGTTTCGTGAATGGAAATTATAATTACCGGTATTTTGTCGCGCTAGTCAATCATATAAGTGACAAATGGGCTACTTTTCCAGAGAAACATATTTCAGGAATGTGGCAAATGAGCATGCACTAAAACTCAGAACAGAAATAAAAAAATCGTATAATAATAAGGATTTTAAGTGGTATAATCTTGAAAAGCTTATTCAACGAATGAAAAAAAAACGTTTTCTATTCCAGGATTAATTGACGATTTTCCGCCGTACCATGATGGGTGGGTGTCAAAGTCACATGACATGACATATTAAACCGTGTTGTTCCCGTGGCATTTTATCTAAAAAACACAAGTCCTTAAGGAGACACTTTGTTTCACCCCTGGACATGTTCTCACAATATTTTAAAGTAAATAATTCCGAATGTATGTTTGGAATTTAAATGTTTCTGCGGCCGTAAAAACAACAACAAAAACAGTAAAAAATTGTACTCTTGTAACTCATGCTGTCCATGGTCAAAAATGTGGTTAAGTACATCTCTCTGTCAGGTTAGTTTAAAATTCTGAAACCTGTTTGAGTATAAAAAGTGACCGTTCGTTTTTTTACGTTTGAGTACAAAAAGTGACCGTTCGTATTTTTCTTACAATCACAAATAGGGTCATTTTTAAATGTAAAATATAGTGTGGGATAGAGTGAAAGAAACAAAAATTAAAGCACGTGGGAATAAAGCGAACATTCTATTTTGCATGGAAATGTCAGAAAAGGGGTTACTTCTTCCAAATTTTATGAGATTCTTCCAATTTTTTAAGATATATCCAAACGTTTTAGTGGAGATTGAAGAGCGTACCTGTGCCTGCGCTTGTTCCTCTTTGATTTCTTGCCATTGTAAGTTCCTGAGAGATCTGAATCTAGAAATAAATAATATATGTTTCAATTTAATTCAATTTATTAATCTGAATAACCTGTGTTTATTGATATAATCTATCAATTGTTATATCATTAATGAAGACCACTATGAAAAGTAATATTACATCACAATATTAAATCAAAAATATGATAAATTATTTAATTGAATAAAATCTAAAAATACAGACATTAGGCCTAAATGTAAAAATACAACAGTGATCTATTTTCCGAATGTTAAAGAAAGGTTAGTTTTTCAAAATAAATTGATGGTAATATTTTCTCTACATCGGATTAGCGATCTCGTAGTCTAGTCCACAATGTTTTTATAAAAAACAAGTTAGCAAACTAGTACAAACAGATGTCCTTCAGCGCTTAATTACTGAGGTTGTTTGTTTTTGTTGTTAAAAATTAAACCACTTAGTCCCCGTTGATACAAGTGTACAAACCCTTTCAAATAACGGGTAGATCGTTTGATTTGTTAGAAAAAATAGTTTTAATTCGATTTTTCATTCGTTGAAACTTCTGGCAGTTAAGTGAATTTAACATAAAACAGAATCTTCTCAGTTAATAGGTGTTTTCTCAGTAAGTATTTCTGAGTCTTTCCAAGCAAGGGGCATTGGGGCGCAGTGGGGGGACAGGCTCCCGGGGCAGCTCTTACCCCCCGCTTGCATCAACCTTATTATAAACTTCCCTCTCAATAAATACTTAATAAACTAGAAAATCAACCGTAATAAATAACGGGTTGCACTACTGAAAGCTGTGAAATTCTTTTCAATGTAATTGACGAGCAATTTAAATTGATTTGGAGTATAGAATGGAGAAATTGTCACCGTATGCGGCATGGGAGCCTGAGGCAACTGCGGGGCCATTCATTCAGATTTATGGATAACGGCACTTTATAATAATTCATATTTCTCAACGAATACCCAAACAGCTCAAGTCTCGCAGTTTTATATGATTTCAAAACAAAGCTGAGCCTGAGACTACCTCCTTATAGTCGTCATATTTTAAATGCGCGATAGTATTACTAAAATGTCATTTAGTCAAAATAAAAAGGTATGGGCCTGGGACTGGGAGCCAGCTTAAGTTGAAGTGTACGTAATTAAAAAGCGTTTTACTATATCTAGTAACATCTGAACAGCAGAAAATCCTAAAAGAACGATATCTGCCGATAAAATCAACAAAAATGACAAACATACGGAAACGGTGTCAGAAACCCCTCCATACTTCAACCCGTCAAAGGGGCATTTAATGTACTTTGTAAAGTTCTTATTTATGGAACAATCACAAATGTTCAATCGCTGCTGTTGCCCATCTTGTCTTGTATATGGTAGCCTATTTCCAAAAGAAGCCAATTTGGCTTCAATATGTGGATGATCGACAAATACCAATCGAAACCAAAATATTATTATTCAGTGAGTGATTTCCAGTTAATGATTTTGACAGAACTAGCGTGCGCATTTCTACCGACCGTCAATATAGAAGATATAAATCCTATCTAATTGCTTAATTAATCATTAATTAATTGTCTAATTAATTCTTAGATTACAATGATTATCGGGGAACAGATTACTTCTAAATAATACCATCACTATATGACTCTGTACAGAATTTGACTATTTTTATACGAACAGATCGCAATATTTATAAATCATTTTTAAAATCATCATAACTTTAGAAAGTAATAGGCCTATAGAGTCAATAATAGGCCTATACATTCACTCATAGGCCTATAGAGTCAATGATAGGCTATATACACCCACTAGTAGGCCTATATAGTCAATAATAGGCTTATACATTCACCCATAGGCCTATACATTCACTAATAGCCCTATGCAATCACTATTCGTCCACTAATAGGCCTATTCATTACTAAAATGTCTATAAATTAAAAATTGTTCCAAATTGTTCTATCAAGAACTGACAGGTAAAATTCTGATAAGACGATATGTATTTACATTCATAAATCTGATTTATAACTCAGCTTTATCAATCATTGATTTGATTAAATAATCAAACAATAATATAATTCTTCAAATAAATATTTGGCTAATTTTCTATCGTTATTGCAAACAAATGCTTGTCAGGGTGTCGATCGTGAATGGCAGAATAAATATTTCGACAGGATGAGCTCAGACGCTGTTTTCTATACGATAAATATATGAAAGCACAAGTGCCAAAAATAATTGTAAGCATATATAGTAAGAAAAAGAAACATCCAGTATGACCAGTAAGTAAAGCAAACCCCCAATATCACAAAATATGATTTAAGGCACAAATTTTACCACCCGTCTCCCCAGCATCACGACAAAACTGTTGGTTTTGCATCGGTCTCCGTGCTCCCCCCCCCCCCCGTTACAATCTCTCAAACAAACTATAACACAGACAAAGAATTGGGGTCGGACCATTTTACATTGGTTAAACTTGCTTTATATCCTTTTTGGAAATCTAGAACTTTGAATCCCCTGGCCACCAATTGCATTTCTTGTCGTTTTCAAAATATTTAAAGTAATACCAGAATTATATCAGTGCTAATGTATTTTGTGAATCGATCACATTAAGAATTTCAGCGTGTGTCCAGCAGACGATAATCTGTTTGATAAATACACTCAATAAATAGTTATGAGACACCTGTGTTCGAGGACAGGAACCACCTACATCCTGCGACACCAGTTAACCAAAAGTAAATTTGCTCTGGACCACTGAGCAAATACAAAACCTCTAATCTAATAGATTTATCTCTGGAAAATTCGTATGGAATGCCATTGCAAAATACAGATTAAAAATTGATCATAACTCTTATTGACAATCAAACTATATAAATCATTTCAGACCCATGGTTATTTGGGTCCAACATCTAGTAAAACGTGGACTTGGTGATTTTTTTTATAATTATCGTTGGTCCAACTTCCAGTTAAACTGATAATTTCATGATTGGCTTTATCGGTTAAATATCGTTTATTGAGCTTCATTTTTTATCTTGATTCTGTCTGTCCTGTAAGTCATCTACATTTACGAGTATTGCACCATGTGTACTGGTTTTTGATATTTTCCCATTTTCCCCCAGCCACTGAGACAAAAAGTATAAATGTGATCAAAATTATTGAGGTTTTTAATACGATGATAAATTCAAAATGTTCAAAGTAAAATGAAGATCTAAGTGGTTCTATTGACGAACTCATGTCTAACATGTCACGGACTTGCTCAGACCTCTTGAAGCCCGTGTTCTCTTTGATGACGACATGTTGAGGTTACAATCTTCAAAAATCAAAATTATTAAGTACATCTTCAAGAGCGCATTACCCACATTATTAAGTTGTATTAATATCACTGAATTCCTTTACATCATGTACACTTCAAAACAACTGATCTTTTTGACTCGTCGTTTTTTTCAAATATGCTTTGATTCAATATTGACTTCATTTTTAAAAAGCTATTCTTGTGGTTCGTATACCGCAAAATTGAAATGATTTCTAAAGAGTTTTCTTTAATGACGCCTATAGTCCCCCGCACATAAACAAATGCTTGATGCCCAAGACTGTCCAATGTTTTGGGGGATTTTATACCACAGTACGGACCTCCTTGATTGACTTTATTATATCATTCCTGCCTCCCCCTTCTAATTCTTTCGACTTGGCTTTTTCAAAATTAGCTTCGTCTTCTCTAGTTTTACTTTGGAACTAATCTCTGCGCTCCATAGGCTACATTTTTCTCTTGTTCATATAATTTTTGTTTACTATTGTGTCGTGGGGTAAGTCAGACCCTTTGCAAAGAGATTGATTTCTGGCCTCTGTAAGAGAGCTACAGTCAAATTGTACCGTTTGCCTATGGGTGTAGGGTAAGTAGATGTGGTCAGAGTTGTGGTATTGTGGCTGATGTAGGGCTCTCTTCGAGAGTCAAGCATTTTGAGGGGAGTAAGAGCCACTTTGTATGCCCCTCTACTTTCTGATACAATCTGCGATTCTTTTGAAACTATACCAATTCATCACCTACCCCTTGGATAAAGATCAATATGACCAGACCTATTTCACATTTTTTCTTTAAAATTTGTAAGAACTGTTCAATTTAAAGGTCGTTCTTTACAATTTGGAGAGTTGACTATACGCCTGTTAAGTTTAATTCTCGATTTCTCCACTCTTTTGTACTCTATTTTGCGTTTTAAAACATGACCGTCATGATTGTTTTTGCGGGTAATTCTCCAAATATTGCCTTAACCTTTCTCCGGGGTGTCGTCTGCTTCTTTGAGCGGGACTACCCCTCGATGTCTAACGGTATTGTGTCAGGGAAATCGGACTGGAAGTAAGAGCACTTAAGGTAGTCAAAATTCTTCAACTGCCGCAGAGTTCCTCTTCAAAAAATTATATTGTTCGAAGTTGTTCTAGCGGTTATTCGAATATGCTTGTGGGGACATTTTCGATCTGTCAAGTTAAATCATATAAATAGACTATCAAATTCAAATGGCTCAAATCTGATGGGAGAATTTTGGATTGATACATATTTTATGATATTGAAAGCGATTTGTTAACGCTGCTTGTAAATCACATCATCACATCATCAAGTAATTGGGTTTTATTTAATTGGTACTATCCATTTAATTAATTATGCTATCTTGTGATCGATCATACATTATTGTCACCTGATACAATACTAGAAAAGAGAATAAATGAAAAAAGAATTGTCGCAGTTGTCTCCAGAGCTACGGGTTTTTATCTGTCCGTTCGTCTTATGTATGTAATATATATCACTCCCACATCAAAGTGGATTTCATATTATAGTTTATATAACAAATACAATATCTAATAGCATGAAAGTATAAAAGTATGAAAAATATTATTACAAAAATATAATCTGAATGTGAAATGAAAGCACAAAAAGCAATAAGTTAAAAACCCAAAATAACCCCTATAAACCAACAATTTTGTAAATCTAGAATTTAGAATTCGGAAAGATGAATCATACGTCTTGCTCCCCGGCAATCGGGCATAACTAAATTCCGCAAGAT